ACCTAATTTCAGGGACAAGCTATTCTGCCTCAAGAATAAAGTCTTCATATTTGATTTAGGTACCAAATTTGGATAATCCTAAAGAGATAGAAAAGTTAGAAATGAAAACACTAGGGATAGTGAAAGATTCAAGTTTCAAGAAAAAAATGAAATTGCTAAAAGAAAGACTTAGAGCTATAAAAAGAATGGATTTTATGGCTCTATAGACATGGTTGAGCTTTGTTTAGTTCCGGACGTGATCATTCCACCTAAATTCAAAGCTCTAAAGTTTGAGAAGTATGAAGGAACCAAATGCCCAATGACTCATATGACCTTGTATTACCAAAAAATGACTGCATATGCTCGTGTTAAAAAACTATTAATGCATATATTCTAGGATAGCCTTACAAATTCTACAGTTATATGGTATGTTTAATTAGATAAGACTCGTATCTACTATTGAAAAAAGCTCATGAATGTAATCTTTACTCAATACTAGCATGTTATAAATCTAGATCTAAATTGCTTATCTCTATATAGCATGAAAAAAAAAAAAAACAAGAGCTTCAAAAAAGATGCACAAAAGTGAAGAGATATGGTTGCACAAGTACAGCCTCTCTTTGTTGAGAAAAAAATAATTATCCTATTTGCCAATATCTTAAAAGCACCATATTATGAGAGACTGATAAAAAATACAACAAAAAATTTTACAGACATAGTGATCGCAGGCGAGATTATTAAAAATATCATAAAAAATGATAAGCTTGATACACGAGAAATAAGTAGCACAAAAAAAATGAAACGCCTAAAAAAAATGCAAGCAGTGAACTATGTGGGCCAATAAATCAAAGGATTTACCCAATATCCTATACTAGTGTACCACACCCATTACCCTTATATAAATAATGTGACATCCATCCCTTATCCATATCAGTCAGTTTAACAATCAGCTTATCCACCCCTTTTTTAGCCATATTTTCAAACACCCACCTATATGTATAATTGTCTTGTTGCAGCCATTAGACTAAATAGAGACCCAACCAAGGTAGTGGTCTAAGAGCCCTTAGAAATGCTCAAGTAAAAGCCTTTTTTTTACTTTATCCCCATGACATATATTGACCTACTCCTTCAGCTTATGAAGAATCATTTATTTATACCTATTCTTTGAGAATCATTGAAATCTTTGTATCTTAAATGGTACGAATACGAATGCATATTGTGATTATCATTATAAAAATGTAGGTCATTCTATAGAAAATTGTACTATTTTAAAATATAAGGTACAAGAGTTAATAAAAAAAAGAATGTTAAACTTTAATAATAGCTAGCAATGAGCTCCAAATATTAATGAAAATCCTCTGCCAAATCATACTAGGCCAACAATAAAAGCTTTGATTAATGACCATGAATGCTACGTTAAAAAAAAGATAGACGAAGTTAAAACGTTAATGGCTTAAGTTTTTAAAGCTTTAGTTAAGGTTGATATGTTGAAACTAAAATAGCCTTATAAATGCCATGAGATGATTAAATTTGTTAAAAGTTATGACTATCATAAGGGTGTTTTGGCCATTCTATTAAAAACTGTGATCAATTTCGTCAAAAGGTACAAAAATTAAGGGACATAGGTTAGATAGAGTTTTATAAAGAAAGAGAAGATTTGATAAAAGTTGAAATGGCCATCTTTGATACACTGATAAAATTCATGTGTAAAACTGTGACCATTTATTATGATAAAAAGCCAACCCCAATACTGGAAAGGCCTATCTTTCAACCAGTAGTGACTATTAAAGTTTCTAGTCATTTTTCATCTCAGAACGATAAATCAGTACCATAAAAGTATGATTTTGATGTTATGATTAATCTAGATATTGCAAACATAATATGAGTAGGAGGTGTAACTCAGAATGGGCGATGTTACACTCCGAAAATGCTAAAAAAAGTTAAGAAAGAAAAATCTAAGGTAAAAAAAAAATTTTAAATAACTCTGTTACAGTCTTTAATAAAGAATACCAAAAGTCATTCTTTAAAAATAAAAAGCTTGTGAATTTTTGAAGCTGATAAGACATAGTGAATATAGCATCATCAAATAGTTGAATAAGATGCAAGCTAAAATTTCACTATTATCATTATTGTCACTTTTGTTAAGTTCAGAATCTCATCGCAACGCTTTATTAAAGGTATTGAATCATGCATGTGTCTTGTAATATCCGTTAAGTATGTAAAACAGCTTGGTGGTAATCTAATGGTTTCAAACTATATTTCTTTTAGTGATGAAGAGATTCCTCCACAGGAATAGTACTAAGGCTTTTCACATTACTATAAAGTGCAAAAGTCATATATTGGTAAAGGTTCTAATTGGCAATGGCTCTTTAATTAATGTCATGCCTATGACTATATTGGCAAAACTAACTGTGGATGTATCTTGTATAAAACCCAGTCATATGGTTGTTCGGACCTTCGATAGAACTCGACGAGAGGTCTTAAGGGATATAGAAATGCCATTGCAGATTGGTTCTTACACTTTTAATGTGAAATTTCAAGCTATGGATATCTCACACTCTTACAGTTGCTTGTTGGTTAAGTCATAGATTCATATAACAGGTGCTGTTCCATCTTTGCTGCACTAGAAAGTTAAATTCATTGTTAATGAAAAGTTAACATTTGTAGCAAGAGAAAAAGATTTATTGATAACTTAACCTGTGAATACCTTTTATGTGAAAGCTATAGACAAAGCTTTGGATTGTTCTTATAAATCTTTTGAGATTGCCAATGCAATATATATATATATGAAAGGTCTAAATTGTATTCATCACACTTGTCTACTACTACTCAAATGGTTGTCAAGCAGCTTATTGGAATGGGATGACAACTTGGAATAGAGCTTGGAAAGAATCTGCAAAGAATCATGAAGCCGCCAACTATATATGATAAGAAAGATAGATTTGACTTGGGCTATAAGCCAATAAGAGGGGACAAAATGAAAATGATGAATGAGAAAAAAGAAAAGAGATTGGCTAATCTTAAAGGATGCGAGCCAAAGTCGAAATTGATGGTTTTTTTTTTACCTTTTATGATTTTTTCTAATTAGAATGATATATATATCCAATTCACTTGAAGCCCCAAATGTAAAATTTTTGAAAGTTTTTTTAAACTACCCATTCAGATGGTGGGTAAGAAAAAAAGGAAGAGTCAGGACAAAGATTTGTTCATGTGCCTTTGTCTTTTGGATTTTGAGTTGAATAATTATAAAGTGATAAAACTACCTGTTATCTTTATAACTTTTGAAAAGTAATATGTTATGAAATTTTAAATCCCTAATTGCTTGTTCCATAAGCATTGGAAGATCTTTTATGTAATGCTTGTCATTTTAATAAAAAACTTAGAAGATGCATTTACATTTCTTCTATTGTTTTCATTCATTTATTCATTTTTATTTTTCTTGCCATGCCAATGTTGTGTGCCAATATTCTCTTAATCTTACCTCTTTGTAGGTTCTCAAATAATGAATATATATTGTTAAGATTTTTGAAAATCTTTTTAATAAAAATTAATAAAATATAAAACACTTAAATTGTCAAAGTAAATAAAATTTTACAAGAATAAAAGTTACGATGAGTGATTTTATCAAAATTTATTAGGCAAACAATTTTTTCCAAAGATTCCAAAAGTGTTGAAAATATTTTGAGAATTCAACCCATGAATTTTTTTCTCAATAATAAAAATAAACAATAAATAAACATTTCAAACTAAATTAAATTTTTCGTCAATAATAAAATTAAGAGAAAATCACAAGTGTTAATTTTCCTTTAATTTTTTAAATCATACTACTTCACTTCAAAATATTAAAATAAAATTAGCAAATAAGCCCTTTTAAGAAAATAAATGATTTCTTTTAATATTTTTAAGGTAAGAAAATTTCTTAAGTTATATTGAAAACATCCAAAATAACTTTAAAAATTTTCAATAAAAATAAAAAATAAAAAAATGATAAGATAATAAATAAAAAAAACTATTTAAACGAGACCAATTTATGATCATATAAGATTAATTAGTACCATTTTCAAACGGATATTGTAGGAGTGCTATAACTTTCTCTGAACGTAATTATACTCCTGAACCTAACTTCAAATTCGTAAATCAAAAGATTGGATTGTTGGTCAATCGCATCCCGATAAAAAAAATTAATATCGAAGTCTAATTTTTTACGTCTAACGATCAAATTCTTGAATGAAAAATCGATATGGCATTTCTTTTTTGATAAACAGAGAGGTAAAATAAAAAGATAATCAGCAAAGCAAATTAAAAAAAAATGATGCATCCGAGATAGCAGCTCATTTGACAACTTTTTAATTTCTATTAAAATTATTTTTGTTAACGAAATTGAAGTGATAAAAATAAAATATTTATTTATAAAATTTAAATTCAAATATTTTCATTATTAATAATTTTCTTTGTAAATGATCTATAAATTATTGCTAATTCTTACATTATATCTTGACTTGATAGTTGAAATGAATAATGTCCCTTGCTTATATTTTGTTATCAACAATCAAAATAGTTATTTGTGGTAGTACTAATTACTCTTTCGTTTTTCCTTTAATCCTAACAAAAACTGTTCCAAATAAATCATTTTCTTCTTCATACCCCTAATTTTGTTTCTTACATTACTTGCTAACATTTCAGGTGCTCAAAATTCCATAAATATAGTCTCCCCTGAGTGTTTCTTTTTCTTTTTTCTTAAAATGACTTTGGGAAATATTGAAAAAAAAAATGATATTTGGAATACCTTGAAAAAGAAAAAAAGACAGCTAAGACAACCGATTTAGTAAAAGTTTATATTTTATCAAATTTATTGTTTGATGAAGTTAAACTTATAATATTATCAGTTAAATTTAAATATTAATTTTAATAAAATTATTTATAATTTTTTCAATTATAATTACAATAAATATTTTTAATAATAATTATAATAATTGTTGTTATTATTTTTAATTTTACCAAAGTCAATCTTCTCATCCATTTAAAATGCACTGTTAAAGCACCACTTCTGACTTTATTTCTATCCCTTATGGCTTTATCCCTTTCGTTAAGCTATTTTCTAACCTCACATCGACACCGATACGCTATATCCAAAACAAAAACCCACCTTGAATTCCTTTGAAAAAATTCAATCTCCAAGCTCTGATCTGATCTCATGATTCCATTTCCCATTTTCAGTTCCCCAACCACTTCACTCTTCTAACACATAAAAGAATTCCATTTACGAATATGCGACAATTATTGTCTCCCACCACCTCGTACCCATCTCTACTTTTCCCTCTAAGTTCCCATCCTGTCTCTCGAAAACACCAATTTTGTCTAAGAGACAGCTTGAGCTTCTATACCCCACCAAAAATGGCTTCTTTTTCTGGGTTTTTAGCTAAGTCCCAGATGGAAATGACTGCTGTTGCTGGTGATACAAATGGGTTTTCTACACTGATGGAGTATGTTGGGAAGGGAGGACTAGATGTGGGAGATGATTTAGTAGTTTTGCTTTATCATATCCAATATGCTTGCAAGAGAATTGCTGCTCTTGTGGCTTCTCCTTTTAACTCTGCTCTCGGGAAACATTCAGGTCTTACTGGTGGGACATCCGGGGCTGGTGCTTCTGATAGGGATAAGCCAAAGCCGCTTGATATTGTGGCAGTATGTTTTACTATGCTAATTTTGTTATTGAATTTCAAGAAATATTGCTCTTTTTTCCCCTTAAATAGTATTTTGGTGGTGCACTGGTGCTATTATTGGGTATATTATCTTAAATAGTTTGGCTGTTATTGTCATCCTAGGAATTTGTTTCAAATGTGGCTCATATCTGATTATAATTTATATGAATTCTTAATCTTATGAACGATGAAATCATTGCAAATGACTGATGAATTGTTTAAAGCAGGAAATTTCTGGTTGAGAGGTTGAGTTGATGTAGAAACAGGTTGATTTTAAAGATGTAACCAGTTGAATTTTTGGTTTGCAATGTCCCTGTCCATTTTATTTCCTTAAGAGTATAAGGACTTGTGTATGGAAAGAATTAAAGTCTTCTGATCTGCTAAATTTTGTTTTATCTGCAGAATGAAATCATCTTGTCCTCTCTTAGAAATTCAGGAAAAGTTTCAGTCATGGCTTCAGAAGAAGATGATGTACCAATTTGGATCAATGATGATGGCACATTTGTGGTGGTATTGGATCCCCTTGATGGTTCTCGAAATATAGATGCTTCCATTCCCACTGGAACAATTTTTGGGATATATAAGCGGCTTGTGGAGCTAGATCATCTACCCACAGAGGAGAAGGCATCACTGAATTCGCTACAGAGTGGGGCAAAGCTTGTAGCTGCTGGCTATGTCCTCTATTCATCTGCCACAATTCTGTGTGCTAGCTTTGGCTCAGGAACACATGCATTTACATTAGATCATTCAACAGGAGACTTTATTCTCACACATCCAAGCATTAGAATTCCTCCTCGAGGTAACATACAGAATCTTGGCTGTTAAAATGTTATGCTCATGAATTCATTTAAATGAGATTTGTCTGATAGTTACTCCCTGATTTCACAAATTCAATGGAATCCTATTTGGATTTCTTACTGATGATGGTCTTCATTAGCAGTTTGATTAAATGGGAACTCTTTATTGTTTATAAACAACATAAGGTATGAAACGGATATTGTTTTCTTTCAATCCAGTTAACGATGCACTGGCTACTCAATGATTCCAGGTCAAATATACTCTGTCAATGATGCACGGTATTTTGACTGGCCTGAAGGTCTAAGACTATACATTGACACTATGAGACAAGGCAAAGGCAAATATCCCAAGAAATATTCAGCACGGTATATATGTTCGTTGGTTGCTGATTTCCACAGGACTCTCTTGTATGGTGGAATAGCAATGAATCCAAGGGACCATCTGCGCCTGGTGTACGAGGCAAATCCTCTCAGTTTTCTTGCGGAGCAAGCTGGAGGCAAAGGATCCAATGGTAAAAGTAGGATTCTTTCAATCCAACCAGTCAAACTGCATCAAAGATTGCCTCTCTTTTTGGGTAGTTTGGAGGATATAGATGAGTTGGAAAGTTATAGAGATGTTCAACAGAAAGTAAACCCTGGGTATGAAGTTTAACGACTTTGTTCTTTTGAACAGATTGATATGGTATAAAACCAGCTCTTCTCTGCTCTGCTGCTCTGTTTCTGTAAGTTCACATGACAGCTCCTCCTCTGCATTGTTAATATTTCTTTCTTCATTTTCTCAATGGCAGGATGTTACATGAGAATTTTAGGCTGAAGATCACAATACAAAATAAATTATCTTCTCCATCTTCTTTGTTTAACAATGTTTTTTCTTCTTCTTGTTGACAGTGAGTTTTATGCGTTGAGATTATAATTGAAACTAAGATCCGTTCATCCAATCCAATGTAAGAGGAGGGGAACGGGATTATAATCATAGGTTAAATATTCCATGAAGAGGTTGCTCAAAGTTTTCTTAAACAAATTTTCTGGCTGCTTAACCTCTGGCCTTTGACTGATTGGCTTCCTCACCACTCATCAGTTAAAAGATGAAAGATTCATATCCAAGAAAAGATACTAAAATTCAGGAACACTGTAAAAGCAAAATGTGCTGTTATTACAAAATCAATTTGTCAGCCAGCTAAGGCTAAATGTGAAAGCCAAGAGTGACAAAGATTTGGCAGTGTCCTAACAAGTTTTAGATTTGGTTGTTGTAAGTTCCTACCCAATTCTAAAAAGAACAAAACAAACTAAACGCAACCACGTAATAAGCAAGCAATCTCATATTACGACTAGTATTTTTCATTTTTAATGGTTCATCCTTAAAATTCTTTTTTGGTAAAAATGTACTACTACTACTAATATTTGCATATAATTCTTAAATTAATAAAGTAGCTAATTGAGATGGTGAATTGACCCAAAATCCAGATTACATCATAGTAAATATATATATATATATAAGATATAACATATAAATATCATTAATATAAAATTAAAAAAATAATTAATTTTATTTTGAAAATTTTCTAACATTCAATTGATACCCAATAGTTTTTATTGTTAACATAACTTTTAACTTTATTTTTTCAATTAAAAATTTTTTTCACCCATGTAATGATATATAAAAATTAATCATCTATTGCAAAAGCAAAATAATAATAAAGTTGTCATATTTTTTCTTTCACAAATAAAAAGCTAAAAAAGGTTAAATTCTTCAAGAAAGCTAGTATAAGATACCATATCAAAGGCTAAGACTACAGTACCAAAAAGCTACTATTACAGTATGACTACTATTAAAAGGCCAGTGGATTAGGAAAAAGAAAAGGGCGTTGCAATTTAAAAAAAAAAAAGTTCCTACCGTTGGATACATTCCCGTTATATCAATCCAGCGGCCAACATCTCAAGTTGACAACTATAACGTACATCCTACGCCCTTAGGCCTCTCGCTCGCTTTAAGAAAATCTCAAATTTTCAGAAACTCTAAAGCCCTCTCTCTTCCCTTCTGTCTGCAACTTCTTTTTTTTTCAAGGAGACAAAACCAAGGCGCTACTATTAATTAATTAATTAAAATTTTAATTAACCCATTAAGGGTGAGAGCGTTTTGGACCTTTTGTTTTTTTATTTTTTGAGAGTTTTAATCGCTTAAATTAATTTTGCTATGGGCAGCACATTTCTCTCTATTCCAACAAAGCGAGCCATGCCCGACCCGACCGCTTCTTCCAACGGACCCTCCAAGCGTTCCAAGCCTCCGTCTACTCCTCTCTGTATTCGCCCTGCCCACGTTGCCTTCCGTCTCCTTTGCCACGTGTCCCGTGTCGGCGGCATCATCGGCAAGTCAGGTAGCGTCATCAAGCAACTGCAGCAGGTTACCGGTTCCAAGATCCGAATTGAGGATGCCCCCGCCGAAAGCCCTGACAGGGTTATTACCGTCGTAGGGCCGAGTGCTGTTAATACCAAGATTATGCTGAATATTGGTAGCCTTGGCAATGGTGACGATAGTAGAGTTGAGGAAATCGATGTTTCCAAGGCTCAGGAGGCATTAGTGAGGGTGTTCGAGAGGATTCTGGAGGTGGCGGCGGAGAGCAATGGAGCAGCCTTGGGGATGGTTTCTTGTCGGTTATTGGCGGAGGTTAAGCAAGTTGGGAGCGTGATAGGGAAAGGAGGTAAAGTGGTGGAGAAGATAAGGGAGGATACCGGGACCAAAATTAGGGTTTTGACGGATAAGCTACCTGCTTGTGCCGGCCCCACGGAGGAGATTGTGGAGGTAGGAAGTTTATACTGGGAATTCTTGAATTAGGGTTTCTGTTTCTTTGGTCTTAGGGTTTGTTGACTGTTTTATTTTCGAAAAGTTGCTTTTTTAGTTTTTGTTTTTGTTTTTTTTTCATTGTGGTAATTATTCAGCTTATGAACAAATGAAAATTCCTTTCTTTTTTTGTTTTTTGTTTTTTTTCTAGTTTAGTTAGATCATGAAAAATTCTAACTTGGCAAGCCTTGAATTCATAGTTTTTTTTTTTTTTTGTTTAAGGCAATTTTTGTTTATTAGGATGTTGCTAGCAAGTGCCTTGTTATGGTTATTATTTAAGGAATTCTCTTCAGTCGATGTAATGAAAGTCGTCTGATTTACAATCAAGTGTTGCATTTAAGATCAAATATATCTATAAACAGCACTGTAAGAAGTGCTCTTTCGCTACTCCATGGCAAAACCCAAACTGTTTGAAGGTTTCTGGGTCTTACGATTTGTTGACTTTTTATGTTCAAAATGTTGCTTCTTTTCTTTTTCTTCTTCCATTGTGGCAATTGGGTTCTATTTTGTAGCTATGAACAAATTTGAATTCCTTACTTTGTACTAGTTTAGTTAGCTCACATTAGTTCTAACTTGGGAAACTTAGAATGTGTTGTTGATAAGTTCTTTTAGGCATGTTTGATTTAGTTGGTTGTTGTGTATTATTTAAGGAATTCTCTTCAGTCAATTCATGGACAATCGTTGCATTAACAACCAACTGCTGTGTTTAATATCAAAATATTTCCATAAGCAGCACCTTAAGAAGTGCCCTTTAGGTTCTCATTAGAAAAACCCTAACTTTATTTATTTAGCTTTTAAATTGCTCATATGGTAAAAATTATGGTATTTCTGTTCTTGAGACCGTGTAAAACCCATTTCTTTTTATATGGATATCCAAGGAACAAGGAAAGAAAATTTGGGCCAAATTCTGATGAGGAAATTTATTGTCCTTATTTAAATGGGACAAAGAAGTTTTCATGAAAGGGGAATTTTGTTGAAAGTTTTTCGATACAATCTAACATTGCCTAAGCTTCTCATTTTCTAAAGCTTTTGCTTATTCTTGTTGTTATACTTAAGTAGAAACATTATTTCTTGTTCCTTCGTGTATATTTTGTAGATTGAAGGAGGTGTTTTAGCGGTAAAGAAAGCACTCGTTGCTGTCTCACACCGCCTCCAAGATTGTCCTCCTGTCAATAAAACAAAGGTTACTGAAAACAGAACCATTGAATCAGTTCTGCCAGAGACTTTACATAGACCTATTGAGTTACTTCCTGAGGAGACTTTGCACAGACCAATTGACTTGCTTCCCAAGGAGACTTTGCACAGACCTATTGACTTACTTCCCCAGGAGACTTTGCGCAGACCTATTGACTTACTTCCCCGGGAGACCTTGCGCAGACCTATAGAGGTGGTTCCCCAGGACCCATTGTGCAGACCGATTGATGTTGTTCCACAGGAATTTTTTCATAGACATATTGAGGTTGTTTCGCAGGAGGCTTTATCTGATCTGCATGTAGATCATCTTTCACAGCGTAGTTCCCTGGTACCTAGTATACCCGGTAGCTCCATCAGTTATGCTACCAGAGCTCATCCTTTGTCTCTGGAGTCCGAGAAGGCTCCTCCTTTGGATACAAAAACAATGCAGCAGGAAGTGGTTTTCAAAATTCTTTGCCCCAGTGGTAGGGTTGGGGGTGTTATTGGAAAGGGAGGTGCAATTATTAAGGCTCTTCAAAGTGATACAGGTGCTACTATTACTATTGGAGCTACAATCACTGATTGTGATGAACGGTTGATTACTGTTACTGCATCAGAGGTCAGTCTTCTTGTGATCTTCTATGACATTTTACATGTGCTAATAATGTGTTGTTTATGTTATTTATATGCTTTCATTGACTTGATATCCTGTAGAACCCAGAATCACGGTATTCTCCGGCACAAAAGGCTGTTGTCCTTGTTTTTGTAAGAGCTTTTGAGGCCTCAATTGAAAAAGGGCTAGATTCAGGCTCAGGTAAGGTTTCAAATGTGACTACTCGGGTCGTAGTTCCATCAAGCCAAGTTGGTTGTCTCTTGGGAAAAGGAGGGGCAATAATTTCTGAAATGCGTAAAGCAACTGGTACCATCATGCGAATTTTGGGAACTGACCAGGTCCCTAAGTGTGTCACTGAAAATGATCAAGTGGTGCAGGTTAGCTGGAGCTTTCTTTAATTATGTTTATAAAGGTTCACAGACATAGAAATAGCTTCTCTTTTAAAAATCTTTGGGGGGAAAGTAGTAAATATCTCTGATTTTCAAATTTTTAATCAAAGAGTTATCTCCTAGAAATATGGACAAATGATTCTAATATTTAGAGGTTAGAGTGAAAAAGAAATCATGACATCTGATCTGTTCATAACATAGGTTATCCCACAATTTTTGTTCCATGTTATGACTGTTGAGTCCAACTACCATATTTCCCAGTTGTTCCATCATATTCTGATCCTTGCTGAGGAAGGATCTCCATATATTCCTTTCTGCGGATACGTTGTCACTTAATTAACTGTTATGTTGTGTCATGAGAGATTTTCTAAAAATAATAAGCCTGGTTTTTCTTAAGTGATTTGCTTAAATTGTTAGTTTTTTTAACAGATTTCAGGAGGGTATTTGAATGTAAGAGATGCTATATATCATGTGACTGGTAGACTACGAGAAAACCTATTTTCTACCACACTGAAAAGTGCTGGAGCAAAAAGCAGTTCCTTGGTTTTAACTGAGACCAGTCCTTATGAAAGATTGTTGGATGCTACCCCTTTTGGCTTGCAAGTGTTGAGTGGTGTTTCTCATAGTCTTAGTCGGCATACTACATTAGCATTGAATCGTATGGATCCCCTTGGACTTTCTCATAGTTCAGATCGCCCTCGATCACCAGGATTGTGGACATCAGAGGTATGCTTTACATACAAGAGTGTATATACATGCACCCTAGTCTCACTCATGAACACAAATATACATGCTAGAATTGAATTGTTGCACCTTTGTACTTACCTGTGGCTGGGTTTTAATAGCAGATGGCTACTGGACTGAATCCAAGGAACATCGTAGATATTGGCAGAGGATTAACTTCTTTTAGAGGTGGATTTGAACTTTGCAGGTTGGTAGCTTACTGCAAAACTTGTGTGTTGCACAAACAATTACATAGAAGTTTGATAATTGATGTTGTTTTTCTAATGCTATGCTTAATGGCGTTATATGGAGTCAAATAAAATTGGGAGTGCGGAATGTGGAGAAGAAAGACTTTTTAGACAATATCTCATAGCTAATGACCCTTTCATCTCATATTGCAGTGGAAACAAATCTGCTATTGTGACAAATACAACTGTAGAGATTAGAGTTCCTGAGAATGTTATTGACTCTGTTTATGGGGAGAATGGTCGCAATCTAGCTCGCTTAAGAGAGGTAACACTTTTTTTTGTATTGTTTGTATATTATTCTATTTGCATTGTTTTAAAAAAAATTGTTTGGAATGATATTTAGTAGGTTAGAGTGGTGCTGCTCCTAATTCTACTGAGAAATATACAAGCGCCATTGAAACAACTTAATCTATGATAGAACTTAGTGAAGAACCTAGGCAACACTGCCAGAAAACTGAAAATCCAACCACAAGAATCTGAGACTGAAAAGGCAATCAAAATAAAATGACTTCACCACACCCATTGGACAAAATTCCCTAGTTAGACATATATATTCAAGACAACTGTGTAGAAACTCCTAAAAGTTATTACTTAAAGCCTGCTTTTCACAAATCATGCCCCTTTAACAATTTAAAAAGTTAAACCTCCTTTTTGAGTAGTCATTACTGATGTAAATGCAACCATGCCACTTTTGAAAAACATAATTTGAAGTCATTACTAAAAACAGTCTGTTCAAATCCCCACTTGTATAACAGTTAAGAACAAGCCTTGTGCCTTGAAATTTTAAAATAAAACTTTTTCGGAAATATGCTCACAATATGTTTGAAAGCTTACACTGAATTTCTTACACCTTTAGAGTTATTGGTTTATGCACACAAAAAAGAATGAGTGAATTAAAAATTATCCTCCTTACTAGTGTCTTTCCTACACCAACATACCATATTGCTGTCAATATAAAATATTTTCAAGATATCTGATCTTAAATCAACATCAACTTTTCCTCTGGTGTTCTTCAATCAGATCTCTGGTGCCAAGGTCATAGTGCATGAACCTCAAATAGGAACAAGTGACAGGATTATTGTAATATCTGGGACACCCGATCAAACCCAGGCGGCTCAGAGCCTCCTTCAAGCATTCATCCTCACTGGTCCATCACGCTGAAATCTTTCATTTAAACCTAATGTTATCACAAAAGGAGAAGAAAAACTTGAAGCTTTTGCCTATTTAGCTGCTTTTCTTCCCTTTTTATTTTGTTCTTTTTTTTCAAGCTGTGTACGCTAGTCTAGCCATCTATGCAAGCCCTGTTCTTTGGTGACAATAATTTAGTCTTCATCATTTACAAAATGTTTTGTAGCAAATGGCCTATAGATGTCACTGTTTTCTGTTGTTTCCTTCATTTCACGTCTAGTTTTGGGTTTCTTTTTTAAACATTGGTAAGAAGTTCTATTTATTATGGTTAGTTGGCCTTGTGATTAGGGTCATGGCCTGCTATGTTGTTATTTGAACCCTTGGCCTTGCTCTTGCTGCCCTATGGCTCTTGGTGAGCCTAAATTCGGCATCATAAGTACAATTCAAATGAACCTTCACTAATAATTTCGGTGCAAGATGAGTATGTGTGATATAACCACTAAAAGGAGAGAACTCACACATTCTTAGATTGTTCTGTTGTAAGTTTGTCAGTGAAATTCTTTAGCTGAAAATAAACCCATACTTCAAGTCCTCGATAAAGAATCAGCTAGAATATATATAACTTAAGCAGAAAGTATTCAGACTAGATGTTTTGAACAAGTTCCTCTATGATGAATTCTTTCAAGTATTTGATAAAGATAAACTTCAAGCTCTAGGTTTAGAGATTGGTGGAGTTGTAGGACAAATTCATCCAGCATCAGTACTGTTTTAGTCTAGAAAATGTGCTTCCTGACAGAGTTGTAATGCATGTGTTATTAAACATATATACCGATTTTTCATAGAATGTTGCGTCCCTTCCAGTGAAGGTCCAAATCACCCTTACCATGGCCTTATCCAATTGTGCCAATACAATAAATTGGTATCTCAGGTAACCAATATTCTATTTGTCTCTCTCTCTCTCTCTCTCACTCACTCACTCTTTTTTTTTTAAGTATTTCTGTATGCTTAAATAAAAAGATGTCAACTCCTTTCTTTATTGTCTTTATCTAATTACTTTTTGAAAATATTTTACAATTATAATTCTCTCTTATGATACCTTTTTAATCTGTTTTTGGTAGTTGTGGAATGTGGAGGTCCAATAAGCTTTTTATTATACAATTAGTGGCAACTCTCTCCTCCTAAAACCACTCTCCTTTTTCTTCTAATTGAAAGTTATAAAATGCGACAGTTATGAGATACCCTCAAGAATTCATCCTCACTCATTTATCATCATGATAGTTCTTCCCATTTAAGCATAAAATTTTCCACAAAAGGAGAAAAACACTTGAAACTATTGCCTAATTAATTGCTTTTCATTGGTTTTTTTCTATTCCAGACAGTGTACACTAATTCTATTCATCAATCCCTTCATGAGAAGTTATGGCTATGTTTGAAGCATAGGATGATGGATAAGATAGGCTGATAATCAATCCTATACTATGTTTGGGTTGTATCTAAAGAACGGAATAGGATTATAAGGAGTATTAATCATCTTCTTGGCATAGGATAATTCAATCTTCCCAAAGTGGAGAGAATTATTTTTAATCCATGATATTAAATTTACACGTTCTATTATATTTTTAAAAATTACATCAATAATTTAAATTGTACATACATTAAGGAAGGATAATTTTGACCAATAAATAAATTATCTTATCGTAATCCATGCACACATTAAACACAAGATTATATAACATTGTTTAATCTAATACTAATCATAATATCATCTTATCTTATCCTATCATAATTTTATGCATCAAACACACCCTATGGGTATTATGTTATGATTAGTACTCTCAGGGCTGGTGGTGAGGGGATATGAGATAGCTCTGTTATTTCTTTCACTGACTTTCCTTATCTCAGGCACAACTCTTGAGTCAGCCTAAACTAGCATCACCAAAACAATTCAAATAAATATTCACTTGCAGTTTGATTGTCTGGATGAAAAAAATAAATTAATTAAGAGAGCTCGTTTGCATTCTTAAATTTTTCTTGTAAGTTTGTCATAAAACTGATAGTTGAAAAGTGATAGATGCTACAATTCTACATTAATATAGAATCAGTTGGAAAATTTTTTTAAAAGAGATGCAAGCAGAGAATACTCAAAGCTTTTGGTAAGATAAATCCCATCTCTAAGTTGAAAGATTTGGTCTGATACACCATGTTCTTTTTCTTTGATCTGGTAATGTGCTTCCAGGCAGAATTTGAAATGCCATGTAAAAGGGAGCATCAATATTTTATAGAGGATTGAAATCCAACATTCAAACTCCCCTCTCCCTATGGCCTTAGTCGATCATACCAACAAAATAAGTTTTGTTTTCTAAGTAATCCCAGTCCTAAGATCTCTGTCTTTGAATAATTTAATTTTAGGCGCCCATCAACTCTTTCTTCTCTTTTATCATACATTATTTTTCTGAAAATGCATATTACATTGTTTTTGTCTCTTGCATAATTCTTTCTAACTTTTCTTTTTGGTCTATGCATACAAGTACACTGAGTCTTTAACTAATATTTTCATAATCCTCACTCTTTTTCTTAAGGTTTGAATATGAGATCTTTGAATTTGAAGTCTTAAAGTATTGACTTATAACTCTGCTAGAATATCTACTTTTGAAGAAATTTCATTTCTTCTCTCTCTCTCTCTCTCTCTCTCTCTCTCTCTCTCTCTCTCTTTACCTTTCATCTCATTTCTTTCTTTCTTTTTTCTTTCCCTGAATTTATAATTATACAACCATACACGTAGTTGATGCCACTGAAAGCAAATAATAAGTAAAGACTAACCCTGTTTCCAGTTTTGGAATATAAACCTAACATATACAGATCTGGGTGCAGTATACCAGTGACCAGCAAGAGCTCACTCTTGGGAAAACATTAATCAAGCAAAGAGTTTCTAAATAAATTAACGTTACGCTGAACCAAGATTCAAAGCAAGATTAACATTTAATTGTATATATAGCAAATCAAGCCTTGCTGGAATTGTAGTGCAGAGTTTCTATTGCTTTTAGTGTAATTTCCACATTGTCATCAACTCCTTGGAGCAGTAGTTCACCATCATACGTAACAACTTTACGTTTCTTTGCTGCTCTTAGTGTCCCAACTAGTGCTTCAAAAATCGTTGCACACCGATCATCATGAAATAGCACACCTTTGAACATATGGGACAACAAAATTTCATACGGTTGTAGCAACATGGGAAATCGTACCACGAATCATCCAACTTTGCAAGTGCAGTTTCAGATGATATGAACATGCATGACCCATATTGTATATACAATGGTGTTAATTTTTTGCCACTTTTTGAATGTATAATATGGGTTCTATTACTCAAAACAAAAAAACCCTACTGTGTCAACCTCTTGCCTAATTCTTCTAGGTTTTGACCTCTTTGCGTAAAAAAAAAAAAAACCATAATTTTACTTTTATATATTATTATATCTGAATCATATGCTTCTCAAATTTAATTCTGGTTTTTATTTAAATTTGTTGTAAATGGTAACAGTAAGAATCAAAAAGCAAATCATGAAATTTAATTAGGAAAAACAATAATTAAATTAAGCATATTAGTGCCAAAGCTAATGCCCGTTATGATTATCACTAAATAGCCTCTCCTTTTTCACGTAATTCAAATAAAAATTATATGTATAACCTCTCTTAATGCCAAACAAATCCTTAACTATAAAAGGTAGCCCAGAACCCCCCCCCCCAAAAAAAAAAATAAAAGAAAAAAAAAACGTGTTAACGACCATCAAGCTTCAAATCTTAATAACGAGGCAGAATATGGTTCCTCCATCAGGCATTTCAAAACCAAAAAGAATAGAGAATACTTGGATGTGATGTGCCATCTCCTCTTAGGCAAAAACAGAAAAAGACTTGAGTGTTTGTCAGCAGCAAAGATATTCACAAGGAATTTTCTGTTGTGCTCACCCCAAAGATTTTCCCAATTTGCAAATTTCAAAGAAAACCCAGAACGCAAATTTAAGACAGCTGAGCCCGTGAATGTATAAGGTGTCTTACAACGGCTTCACGAGGAGATAAACTGAAGAATATTGGACATAAATATATAAGTAGAATTAAAATAGTTTCCGTAGGACTTTCACGGCATCTTTGCTTGAATCTAGAAGAAATTGGTACTTTGAAGAACGAAAATGTTAGCATGTTAGAAATTGAATTCGTGCATTAGCACTGGCATTGTGAAAATTAAAAAATTGGGTCCTTGGCACTAATGGATCATGGAAATCGAATCAGGGTTGCGTTCTTCAATATGCCATTTTGTGGAGTCAAGTTTTGCCAGATAAAACTACAAAGGTTTTTATTTCATTGGTTTTGCAGAATGGTTTGAGTAGAGCAAAGCTTGACACTTATTCTACAATGGCAAAGGGGGAAATGTTTCAAGATCCAACTAATGCCTCTTGGAGGACACGACTGGACAGTAAAATCTGTACTAAGCTAGAGACACTTGTTACTTGGAATTTTAATTACATATCAATGCCTTATCAGTTTTCGCCCCCCAAACTTTTCCAGTATTGTTTATGTTGTGTTGGCTTTACCTTCCTTCTCTCTTTCATGGTTCAACCCTCTTAGAGGCCACAGCAATGGTTTTTTTATATATTTGATCATAACTTTGTATTAAAGTTCATACCCTCTGTAGTAAAGCTGAGAACGGTAAAGAAAAACAGATCTCATTGTCATAGTTATACAGGAAAGATGGACCAAACCAGATCCAGATATGTCCAAATAACATAAAAATTAAAACCCAGAAAAAAAGGAGAAAGTGAGAGAGGAAAAGAAACCTTGTAAGAACCATCAAGTTGGATCTTGCCAAGTCTTCGGATTTCTTGATTGAGTCGCTTCACCTCTTCTACTACGTTCATTGTCTTCAGTTCCTAAAAAACAATAAAATAGCATCTGTCTGGTTTTCTCTTATGAGCTTCTGTCCGTCGGAGACAGGCATCCATGTTTTTTTAATGGACAACTTTGTCAGATGATGTAAAAATAAATAAATTAAACTAACCATCGGATAATTCATCCCCTTTACTTGGTCCTAAAACGTAAATCATCGGTACCTCTTTTCGCGTCGATCTGTTGTTAAGCCCAGTGAGCCCACTAACCCTAAATTCTTTCTTGTGAGTGGCCAGGCCATTCCACCTCAGTGGCATTAACCGTAAATATCGTCATTTATCAGGGGTCTTTTCTTTATCTCTCATCTTGTCTTCCCTCCCCACAATCTTCTTCTTCTATCCCGTCTCCGGTCGCTTCACATAAATAAATTAATCATTTCCTGAAACCAGAATTAATACTTTAAGTAACATTTTTTATTATAAATTTTAATTTTTTTACCATTTTTTTTTCCTTTTTAGCCGCAGTTTTTGAATTCTCCTCTTAGTTTTCTTTAGTTACTTTGTTTCCCTTTCTGACAACTTTATTCTGAGATTAAAACTCAAAAGTTTTTGGTAATTTCGATGCAAAAGGAATGGAAAATTCGAATCACCTGCCAACATCAATGTACGATTCCGGTGCCATGAACATCCAACAAAACCTAGGAGAAGAAGAAGATGACGATGTTCCTGGCGGAGGCGGTGGGGGACGAGGGGAAGAGCCGGTGGATAACCCTCAGATTGGATTCCAAGAAAGCGGTGGCGTTGTTACGGTTATGAATAATGGCACGGAAGAAGCTTCTCATGCCAATATTTATGGTCAAGGATCAGATTTAACCGCCGTTCCCGGTAATGCTGGCGCAGATCAGCTTACCCTCTCGTTTCAAGGGGAGGTTTATGTATTCGATTCCGTTTCTCCTGACAAGGTTCGTTTTTCTTTTCATGTGGGCTTTTTAGTTTTTGATAAGTATTATTTTTTGCTAAAGTTTTTATGCTAATTTTTCTTTAAATTGTTTACTTTTTGCTTCTGTGTTTAGCTTGATTGGATGAATTAATGAGTTTATTTGCTAATTTGGCGAATTATGTAGTGGCCCTTTGTGTTTTAATGCTAATTTAGCTGAAAAGCATTGGTTTTCCATCCATGTTCTGGTTTATATGGTCATTTACTCTTACTTTGTTTAAAGTAATGTGGACTATTGTGCATTAATGCCTTTATTCAAATGAAGAAAGGCCCCCTCTTCTCCTCAATTTACATAAATTCTTTTTTTCTGAATTAGTTATATCTGCTTGGTATGCTGTGCATTTGTTTATTTCTTGGTATTTGAGATTATCTAAATTTGAACCCCTAATCACTAGAACTAAGAGTCTAGCACTTTACCGATAGACCACACAGACTATTGGCAAAAAAGAGGGAGTAACAGCAGACCACTCGTTAGTTTTATTAAGAGTTAGGATAACATTTAATTAGAGTTACACCACCAAGTCATGGACCTCTTTCATTTTCTTACTTTTTTGGGGTCATTTCTGTAAATTCAAGTGTACAGTTCAACATTAGATGATTATGATATAAGATTTACATGGATTTTTTTATTGATCGTGTAAAAATAATGATGTATTAGCAGATGAATTGAAGTGGGTGCTATTAGGCCTAGAAGTTTCAGATATGAAGTAACAAGAGGAAAATCATAATTATTTGTGCTTGATTTTTTCAGGTACAGGAAGTATTGTTACTTCTTGGTGGGTATGAAATCCCTTCAGGCATTCCTGCGTTGGGGACAGTTTCTGTTACTCAAAGGGTATGTGTTAGCTCAATCATCCTAGTTATCTTGTCACTTGTTCTTTTAAGGAGGTTCTGTTTTGTTCATATTTTTGCTTCTTTCATGGCGTTCTCATAGGGCATGGGTGACTTTCCTGGGAGGTCAATTCAACCACAGAGAGCTGCTTCTTTAAACCGGTTCCGGGAGAAGAGAAAAGAGCGGTGCTTTGATAAGAAAATCCGCTATACCGTGCGGAAAGAAGTGGCTCTCAGGTATTCCAATGATCAGTTTCTCTTGTTTTTCCACATTCTTCTTTATTCATTTTGAGCTTGTTCTTCAAGCCACTTTCTAACATGCTAGGTGTGGTTCATCAGGATGCAACGTAAGAAGGGTCAGTTCACATCATCCAAGGCGATTTCTGATGAAGTAGCCTCAGCCTCTTCAGGCTGGAGTGGAGCAGCAGGTTCTGGACAAGATGAGAGCATGCAAGAAATTTTGTGAGTAGCTTTTCCTATGATCAAATAACTTTCTTTTAATTTGTCATTAGATTGGTATTACAACTCACTTGAAGATGTTAGTTTCAAGTTTGTACTCCAGCTATCATTTGTTATGGGCTAATGAAAGGGATTTATGTAGATTCTCTTCTTTATTTTGTGAAATTTTCTGTGTAGATGTACACACTGTGGAATTAGTTCTAAGAAAACTCCTATGATGCGTCGTGGACCTGCTGGTCCAAGGACTCTTTGCAATGCATGCGGACTCAAGTGGGCAAATAAGGTTTGTCTAAACCAGGAAAGAGTTGTTCATAAGTCTATTCCTCATTTAATTGCATGCAGACTCAAGAGAGCATACTATGAGATTATTGACAGCCCTCTAACTTTATGTTAATAATGTGTTCTTTGTAGATCTAATGATATTTAATCACACAAGATTATGATTAATACTTGTGATTGTTAGAAAGGCATATCTCAAGAATATGACTGATTATCTTGTGAAGCTTATTTTTAAGTAGTGTAGAAGATATTTAGTCCACATGTCAAATTATGATTATTACAAGTTTAAAAATCGAAAGTTAAGATGGATGAAACCTTGTGGTGCAAGCAAATTTATTTTCATCCTTCTAATTTTAAAATTTGGACAAATCAGCCCTTTCAAAGTCTTCTCAAGTTTTGTTGAAATTAATTACTTTTATGATGCGAAGTTAAGTCTTTGAGCTACTTATTCTTTGTATGAAATATATATAAGAAAACTTACTGGTTAGATGAATCAGCCATAATTATACTTGTTATTTGCTGGATATTAATTAAAGACGTGTGGACACGTCTCACTTCAAAAATCAGTTACTTGATCCAACTTGAAAAACTCACCTCCTATATTTCTTCATCCTTAGGCTCTGAATTGATAGTGAATTTGAAATTAGGGAACATCATCATGAAAGGGCTTGAATACAAACTTAAGGTACCATCTTGTTTTGAGTTATTTTTGTCCAATATTTGCTATTGATGTTTCTAAAGATTAATTTAGTTTCTTCTTCCCTTGACAACTTATTGTGATGGAAAGCTATGGACCATCCTTGGCCTTATACCAACGGCTTCAACATTTTGATTTGCCATCAGTCACTTTTAGTTTCTTAGATGGGAAATATGGGAAAAAAAACCTCTTTTTTTGGGTGCATAATTAAACAAACCTTAAAGTTCTTCAAAAGCCTAAGACTAAACTTTGGGCTTTCTTATCTGATGATCTAGTAATATAATGATCTCATAACCTCCGTAGAAAGGAACAAGCCATAGAATCAAAGTTTTGAAAGATACAGCCTTGAAATTCAGTTTTCTACTTCTGGTCTATTCGTTTCTGGCACCACCTAACCTCAATTTGTTCGGTGACTTATGAAGTAAATATATCCTTTAAGTGGTTAGTCATGTCTTCTGAAGTTTAGTAACTTGCTGAGGATAACTCATAGCTCTTAGAAAATATAATTTCTGATAATCGCTTTTGATTCTTTGGTCATTCACTTTGGAAGTTTTGATTTGCAGGGTGTCTTGAGAGACCTTTCAAAGGTTTCCACAGCAGCAAACCAGGATCCGACTGCAAAGACTACTGAGCAGGTATTGCTGACTCATAAAACAATATTAATCATAGTTATTAATTACTCGTTTTCATTGAGTTATTTCCTTGAATCTTATTACATTGTTACTTCATGGGTGTTTATCAGAATGATGCTGAAGCTAGTGAGTCAGAGGGTGTAACTTTGACTACAGACGTTGTATCTTTATCTAATGGAGATAACTCCGCTGTGACTGCTGAAAGATGAGTAACAAGTTCCTTCCATTGTGGTGAGTGCTATGTTACTTGCTGTTTGAAAGCAGATGTCAAACTTTGTTGTAATAATTGAGTTCGTTTGACAACTGTATATATGGTTCATTGCCTATGATCCTTATGTAAATGATTGCGCAATTGCAAAATACAGCCTAATTAGTTTCTGTCAGTCAGGAGTAAAACAAAACTTAGGATCACTTTAACATTAGCAATTGTTCTTGTTTCACTATATGTTGAAACTAGCAGCTTGTTTTGACAATTTCCTTTCTTATCACACAAAAGTGGAAATACTTGTGTGTGAAAAATAACTTTGATAAAGGGAGCTTGAACCATTGAATGTCCCAGTTTTTGAGGCTGCTATGCCAAAGAATGGCCGCTTGTCTTTTTCTTATTTTCTCACTTCGGCTCACCGTTTCTCACCAATTATTAAATCTTGGCTATATCTGCATTCGTATTGTGTAATAAAATATTGAAATTTGTGTATTTATATAATATTTTATATAAAAATTATGTTATAATTTGTGTCAACATAAAAAACATAAAATATATTTTTTGATTTAGATAAACTCATATATAGCATTTATAGTTATTACGAAAATATAAATCGAGTTATTTTCATATTTCATTTTTGTATCATATTTGTATTATCATATGATGTTTTAAATTATTGGATCTCAAAGTTCATAAGGATTGTTTGGGGAATCCGTATCTGAGGATCCGCATTTTAAGTGAAAATCTTTCTAAAATTTCCTAAATGAGAAATCCCTTTGAAACCTCACAAAGAATTGACTCTTTGATCAATTTTAGGAGATAATAGTTTATAAAAAAAATCATATAATTAAATAAAGATATTCATTTAATATTAATTACTAATATAAAAATGTTTTCTAAATGATTTTGAAACTCACATTTGTAAAGTATGTCCGATTATAATATGCTTATACGAAAGAATATAAATAAACACAAATAAAATATGACAAATTATAATTTTTGTTATTATATATGAAATCAAATTATTTGGATAATACATGTTTTAATAATAGGAACATTAATATATCTTTATATAAAAAATATTAATATAGGTTAATTATATAATAAAATAAAAATATTTATATAAATAAAACATATCAATTACATCTACAACTATATGTACATTCACAATATAAATTATGTAGTTTATGAAAAATTAGAATTTTGCTACTCACTATGTGGGTTTCATTTAAGTGTTTTATAAAGAAAAGAAAATTTATTTAAGTAAAAATGTGATACTTTTTTTAGAATTGGGTAAGTTTTCCTTAAAAGAGTTCATATAAAAGTAAAATGACTTTATGTACCTTAAATTTTGTATTTATTATTATTAAATTAATTTTTATGTAATTTTTCAATTGAGTTGATGTCAATTTTTTATACCAATTTAATCTGAAGTTTTACACATAATATAGATAAATAAATACATTATTTTTAATTTTAATATTAATCTTATGTTGTTCGAAATATAAATATATTGATGATAACGTATATATTAAAAAATTATTCAAATAAAAAAATTTGCTCCACGTTAATCCGCAGAAAAATACTGTAAGAAACGACAAAGAAAAAAAAAAAGTTGAGAAAAACCTTTTTGTTTTTTTCCCGTAAAAAAAGAACAAAAAAAAAAAAAAAGACATTTCAACCTTAAAATGGAAATTAACAATAACCAACTGCTAGTAGTAATAATTTTAATGACATGGTGACGGAAGCAAATCCCAAGAACTGTTTTCTTTGTGGAATCCAACTTCTTCAAATGAGCACTCAACTTACAGATCCAAAACGTCACTCTTAAGCGCATCCCTGCTATAACAAACCCATCAAACTAACCGATCGCATCATCTTTACAAAAAAAGGATTATTGTTTGTTTGTTTTTTTTCCTTGGAATTGATGGGTTTTGTCAGTAATGTACTGGGTTTTTGTGGATTCGGAGTTGGGATTTCAACGGGTCTTGTGATCGGGTATTTCCTCTTCACCTACTTCCAGCCTAACGATGTCAAGGTAATCTTTCTTCTTTCTATGTTCTTTTGTGTTAAATCTTATAGAGAACTTATTTTAAGCTTTGGGTTCTTTTTAGATTGAATTCTTTTTATTTTTCTACCTCTTTCCCTTGCTTGTTCTACATCAACATGACTTACTGTGATATTTGATGGTATTCGTGTTGCTAATTGACAGTTCTAAAACTCGTTTCTTTTGTCATTTTGCATCCGTAGAATGAACGAATTAACTAGTTAAATTCTTCAATAATGTGTTTGAAATTTCGAATGCATGTTTGAATTTCGGGGTTTAGTTATGATTCTAGTACCGGGGGCCCTAGAGCTGAGTTTAAAGAAGAATAAGCCACAATGGGGTGACTTGTTTTTTTTTTTTTTTTTTGTTATTTGTTCATATGATAAATGAGGAAAAAAGGAACATAATGGGAGAGCTGAAGGAAAGATTGTTGTATGCGTCAATATTTGATATCTGTCACCTTTGTTTGCATTTTATGGAGTTTATTTAGATGTATATGTGCTTTTATCAGGATCCTGAAATCCGTCCATTGGTTGAACAAGATTCAGAGACTTTACAAAGGATGCTTCCAGAGATACCGCTCTGGGTAAAAAACCCAGACTATGACCGTGTACGTCGATGTCATTATTGTTATTAGTGTCTATCACATTCTTCCCTTGTCCTTCTACATATGTTTTGCTGCCTTGTATTCTGAAAACTACATTTTTTTTTCTTTTTGGTGTATGTGAAGGTTGACTGGATAAATAAGTTTTTGGAATATATGTGGCCTTATCTTGACAAGGTTTGACTTCTGGTCCCCACAAACATCTCTTTTCTCCGTATCTTCTTCCTTCTTTATATGTTTGTTCTCAGCTCTTTTCCTTTTACTTACTCTTTTGTAGGCCATTTGCATGACTGCCAAGAATATTGCCAAACCCATAATTGAGGAGCAAATTCCTAAGTACAAAATTGATGCTGTTGAGTTTGAAAAACTTACATTAGGATCTTTGCCGCCAACTTTCCAAGGTTAATCAATCAATTACTCTTTAATGGTTGTTCTGCCACTTGCAAATGTTATGCCACTTATCTTTTTACTTGGAAAGGCATTGCGAAGAAAAGCTGGATAAATTTTTCGATCTCTTCTTGGTAATCTTGAATAGGTATTGGAGTTAGCATAAATTGTATTGTACTAAGCATGAATAATTATTTTGGAATGCCGCTGTCTAGGATTTGATTGCTTTGATGCACGCCAAATTATTGGAGTCAGCATGTCACATCGAAGTCAAAAAAAGAATGTAGCTATGTATGTTAATTCAAATACTTTGCATTGCATTCCGAGATAAATTCTGGTAGCAGTCCTCTTCCCTTACCCCCAAAACTAGATGAGTAGGTCCTGGATGTTTAGATGTGAAAGCGACATATATCACCCCCTAAGATTTGGTGCTTATTAGACCAAAGCATAGATTTTAAGATCAAAACCTATATTCGTGCAGTTTTGATGTAGTTGATTTCTTTCTCCCCACCCCCCTCCCCCTTTTTTTTTTGGATATCACACTGACCTTGTTGCTGTTCTTCTCTTTCACAGGTATGAAGGTTTATGTCACAGATGAGAAGGAGTTAATCATGGAACCATCAATAAAGTGGGCTGGAAATCCTAATGTTATTGTTGCTGTAAAAGCATTTGGCCTTAAAGCAACTGTCCAGGTTGTTATTTTATCCTACTTTAAAAAGGAATACTTTTTTACACTTAACTACTTGCGTTAGAGAGCTGAGAGTATGTTGTTTGTTAATTGTGTATTGCTTGGATAATTTCAGGTTGTGGATTTGCAAGTGTTTGCTCTACCACGTATTACCTTAAAGCCTTTGGTCCCAAGCTTTCCATGTTTTGCTAATATCTATGTGTCCTTGATGGAGAAGGTTTGAGATTATGAATGAAATTAATTCAATTATATTATCTAGATCTTTGATGGATTGACATTTTAATGTGATAAAGTATTTTTAACTACAAATTGTGTGGCTATCCACCTGAAGTATATGCCAGATGTGCCCTTTGTTAGATATGTATTTAGTAGGTAAATAGTTAATATTATAAAGTATTTTTAACTACAAATTGTGTGGCTATCCACATAAAGTATATGCCAGATGTGTCCTCTGTGGGACATATATTTAGTCTGTAAATAAATTAATGGAAAACAGAATAGTTTTCAATATGCTAAATATAAAGCTGGCCAGATTACTCTCATCTAGCATCAGATAGAAAATTTTATGCACTAGTGCCAAGTTCCACTTTAAGACATCATGTTTTGCATATTTCATGATGGAAGCATTACTTAGTTTCATAATGATATTTGAATCTCCAAAATTGATCAAATAATTTTTTTTTGCCTTGTCACATTTTTAGTAAAATTTTGGTATTAAGCACTTGATAGTTCTGAATTTGAAACAAAACAAATAACCCTTCAAAAAATAAATCCTAGCTTCCTTTGGGAATGCTTTCAATACCATCTTATCTTTAGGAATTTGGAGGTAATGCTCATATGTGCAGGTACTCTTATAAAAGCATTAGATAATGCTTAATGAACGATTTAAGTATTCTAGTGCACAAATTATATTTGGGGAATGGGAGAACTATCTCATAGCCTCTGGTTTATTAGCCTATATATGATATATATACACTAGTAATTAGTTCTCTCTTCTCTTTTGGATGTATTGCCTCTCTCTCTCTCTCTCTCACACACACACACACACACACGCACGCACGCACACTTTTTTTATGAATATTTATTAGTTTTCATTTCTCTTAATCATATGTCTTCTGATCTGCAGCCCCATGTTGACTTTGGATTGAAGCTTATAGGGGCTGATCTCATGTCAATACCTGGTCTTTACAGGTTTGTCCAGGTAGAATGCCATATAATGTCCTGTTCTCATTTTTTTAAGTTTGTCACCTAAGTGGATGCTATATGAGGCTTTATTAAGTGTCTGAAATTGCATTTCTTTTACCAAAAGTGCAATCAGTTCAAGGCACCTTTTTCTAAATGTACAATTTTTATCATAGAAGTTGGTGGACCCCTCTTTAGTGGTGGTTTTACCTATACTAACTTCTTGAAGGATGTGTTCATAATTTACAGACATAAGAAAAAATTTCTCATTAATGCCCCAGTTGGTTTTGTTGTATGAATTTATAGTTCATAGCTTTGAATGTTAATAAAGGGATGTAATGCAGGAGCTCATCAAAAATCAGGTTGCGAACATGTACCTTTGGCCTAAAACCCTTCAAGTGCCAATTCTGGATCCAGCAAAGTATGCTTCAAGGATGTTCTCATATTTTATTATGAGTTGATGTTGTCTTTTTTTACTTTTAATTCTTTGGTCTTGGCTTAAAAATCCATTCGAACTTGCAGAGCTTGTAAGAGGCCTGTAGGAATTCTCCATGTGAAAGTTGTAAGGGCAATGAAGCTAAGGAAGAAAGATCTTTTGGGTGCATCAGACCCTTATGTTAAACTAAGGCTAACTGAGGATAAGCTTCCATCTAAGAAAACCACTGTGAAGCAGAGGAATTTGAACCCTGAATGGAATGAGAAATTTGATATAATTGTTAAAGATCCTCAGACCCAGGCTTTAGAGCTTCATGTTTTTGACTGGGAGAAGGCACATTTTCCAACTTTTTATTGATCTGAAGTTTTATCTTTTGTTTCTATTGTTACCTTAAATGTTTGTTCTTTCTCAGGTTGGCAAGCATGATAAGATGGGAATGAATGTGGTTCCTTTGAAAGAACTTACTCCTGAGGAGCCAAAACTTATGACCCTTGAACTCCTTAAAAATATGGACTTAAATGATGCTCAAAATGAGAAGTCACGTGGGCAGCTTGTGGTTGAACTAACATATAAGCCCTTCAAAGAAGATGAAATACCAAAAACTTTTGAGGAGTCAAAAACAGTGCAGAAGGCTCCTGTGACTGCACCTGATGGCGGAGGTATGCTTGTAGTCATTGTCCATGAGGCGCAGGATGTTGAAGGAAAGCACCACACTAATCCATATGTGCGGATTCTCTTTAGAGGCGAGGAGAAAAAGACCAAGGTAATGACATTAACATTTAAAATATCTTCTTTTTTTTTTGAGAAAATAATTTCTCCCTTTTGGTTGTTAATTTTATTTGCAAAGTCTATAGTTTTTTTTAAAGACTTCCTACCTGTAAAACATCTTGGAAAACTGTTCCAACCTTTGCCAATATTCCAGCTATCCAGTATTTTCCTCATCTTCATCTGGTCTTGGTAGTTTGTCCTAGGGAGCTCACTGATTCCTTCCAAATTCACGCCTTGTATTTTCTGTTATAATTATATCTTTAATGAAAACGAATGAAAGATGGTTGGTGATAGCTTTTTTTTTTTAAAGAGATAATCATTTGAACTGGATGAAGAAAATATTGAACAGAAAGGCAACATTTGTGGGAAGAATCCTTTTAGATATTCATGTTTTCTTTTAAGTTTGAATAATTGAGTTACTGAAAGTGTTAAAAAAAAAGCCTGATTTTTTGTCAGTTGTTTGTATGTTATTAGTAATTTTATTGGTGCAGTATGTGAAGAAAAACAGAGATCCAAGATGGGAAGAGGAGTTTATATTTATGTTAGATGAACCACCTATTAATGATAAATTGCATGTGGAGGTTCTCAGCAGTTCATCAAGGATGGGCCTGCTGCACCCAAAGGTAGCGTTTGCATGGTTTCTTGCATGCTTTTTAGCATGTCTCTTTCAACTCATTTTACTTGCCAAATTTCAGTTTGTCATTTTATAGGCATAGTTACGATAACAATGTTGCTTGGACTTGGATTTGGGTGTTGGAAATGAACCCATGTTTGACTCCGGCATGCTCAATATTTCATTGTTATTTTCCTTGTATTTGGACTTGGAGGATTATACCCCGAATATTAATGTCTATAATGGGGGGGGGGGGGGGTTGTTGTGCTCTGGATGCATGAAGAGTTAAAGTCTCTATAGATATTAAATTATAAAAATTGTTGTGTTTGAACTTTGAAATGTTTTAAATAGCATGGGTTGTCGTCGGGAAGTTTCCGCTGTTTTTTTTTTTTTTTTTGGAAAAATGGAAAGTTGCCACTTCTCTTTATTGAAGCCTGGTTGAGTTCTGCAATACAGTTCGTTGATGAACGTATTTGGATATTGAGGATTTTTGTGGTTCCAACTCCGGAATCATCCATAAAGTATACTTGATATATTATACACACACACACACACATTCGTATTTTATGTGTTGCTATTGTTTTTGGGTATTCAAGGTGTAGTTTCGGAGTTTGCTATTACGGAATTAACCAGATTTTGTTTATATGAACAGGAAACCCTAGGTTACATTGATATCAATCTGTCAGATGTTGTTAACAACAGAAGAATCAATGAGAGATACCATCTTATAGACTCAAAGAATGGACAGATCCAGATTGAGTTGCAATGGAGAACTAAATGAGCTCAGCGTTTCTTTCATTTTTTATAGCTTTACATGTTGAATTGAGGATTATAGCACCACAGGAAGCCATTTCTTAATTTGTCTTTCAGATAATGCATCATTCTGTTTGTTTGTTTTATGTACATGATGATTGTAATAATAGCACCAACAAACTGAGAAAAGGACGACTCATTGTGTTTTTTTTGTTTTGGTTTGCTTTGTGATTAGACATGATAATTCGAATGTTTGTGTTATGTAAAATATTGATAATTCATATATATTCGTATCATATTTTATGTAAAACGTATGTCTCATAGTGTCGATATGAAAATATAAAATATATTTTTTAGGTTTTGTTAAATTTATTTATGATTTTAGTTAAAATTTTAAAACGTATTAATTTCTTATTTTTTATTTATATCATTTTTTAGTCGTGTTATCGTATTGTAATTGTATCATATGTAAAATTGTTAAGTTTAATTTACAAAGACATTGGGCAATTTGTTGCCTTTGGAATGTCTTTAAGATTAATGATAAACTTTTAAGTAAAGATAGGCATCGACAGAGTTCAATAAGAAGAAGATTAATAAAATTTTTAATTTAATATTTGAATCTATAAATTGTTAAAATTTAATAAAAAGATCACTAATAATATGTAAAAAATTATAATTCAAATTATTAATATCTATTAGATGTAAAATATTGTAAAATTCTTAATAAAATCTTTATTTTAAAAAAATATTAAAACTTTTTAAAATTAAAATTATTTATTTATTTAATAAAATATTTTAATTTATCAATTTAAAATTTTTTTATTTTATTAATTTTAATAAATAATTTTACAAATTTCATTTAAAACTTTTCATTTAAACTTATTTTTTTAAGTAAAATTATTCTATCACCTATGAAATAAAGTCAAAGAAGGTAGAAGTTAAACTTCAAGAACATGATTATGTTTTTTTTATTAATATAATTACTATTTACACTCCGTCCCGTGCAGTTTCTCCAATTTAATGAGTGGAATTATAAATTAAGTTGTATTCTTCTATTTAAAGTTACAGTTAAATTAAATTAATTAAACAATGTTAAGATATTAAAAGAATTTTTAGTTTTATCATTTTATTTAAATAATATCTTTTTTATTTTATCTAAATTAATTTTTATCTTTTGATTTGTATTCAAATATATTTTTATGTTAAATAAAAAAATTAATTTATATTAATAATTTATTTATATACAAATTAAAAATTTTATTTAGATACAAATTAAAATTTAAATATATATTTAAGTATAACATAAAAATTAAGGATTTATTTAACTATAATAAAAGTATAAAAATTTATCTAAATAAAATAATAAAATTTAAGTGTTTTTTATTATTTTACTCTTAAAAAAAAGCTCAAAACTGAATTTTTTATTTACTCTTTTTTAAATTCAAATTTATTTATTTATCTTATTTATTACTAATAATTTGCTAGTTTTATTGTATTATTCACTTTTATCTTATTAAATTTTTTAATTTCACAAATAAAATTAAATTAAAAAAAATTAATTAACCAAAATGAAACATATATCATCTTGTTAGTATCTCTTGTGACCTTAAAATGCTCTACTTACTGGGAATTAAACAATTTCTCGTAAAACAAACTCTATTGCTTTCTATATTACCATTGTTATTAGGGTTTAATTTTAATAACCAATTTTCACTCTTCAACAAACTGCTTTCTTCTCTCCATTTAAAAAAAAAAATTGTATCTAATTTTTAGGGTTAGGGTTTTAGGGTATTTGGTAAGTTCTAGAAGATATAGGGGGCGGTTTTAGTTGAGTGATGGTGTAGCAATGGATACGGTGAACCAGCGGAGATTGCTAGCGAGACCGTGTGGATATGAAGATGATGATGCAGGATTTGAGCGGAAACACATTAACGGAGCTCACGAGGTGGTCATGAATGGAGTAATGAGTTCAGTAAACCATGGCAATGGAGTTGGAGGAGGAGGCTTTGTTCAAGCGACTCGAACCAGTGAACTCACCATCGCTTTCGAGGGTGAGGTCTATGTCTTCCCCGCAGTTACTTCGGAAAAGGTTTGATTTTCTTTTTATTTTTTAGGTTTTTAATTGTTTGGTTGCATGTGGACCTTTTATTTGTAGTTTTTTTTGTTGGAATAAACTGTTCATTTGGAAATGTGGGGAGTTAAACGGTTAGGTTGATGAGTACTTTTGTGTTGTCAGTCTTACCTAAATGTAAACAGAGGAGGATATTTCTGGAGAATTGTGAATTAACACGATACATTGGCTTTGCTAAATCTTACTAAAATTGCTGAGTTTTACGATTCAGTCAAAATTAGGAATGATGCTGTTGAGATTAGTTGTTTTTGCTTAGGTATTGCCATTTTCAATATTAACTGAGGAGATCTTGTATTTTACTATGACAGCTTCTTTCTTATTTGTGTTTGGTGATCATGTCGATTATTTGCTTCTCTAAGTGATTTTGAGACATAAGATGTTGCCTAATCAATAATGATGTCCATAGCCCCCCAAATCTGAAGTTATAGGTTTAAAATTAATTGTTAACTATCTGACCATGCAATGATCCCAGATTGCTTTGGAAGGTCTTGGAATGTAATTAATTTGATTAGGCTTAGTTGCGCATGCCTTTTATTGGTCTTTTTTTTATTATTATTTTGTTTCTGTTTCTTCATCAGATATTCAGGACTTCTTATGGTTTTGGGGGGGAAAGTTTCATTCCATTGGTGGAGTTATGGCATATGAATGCCCTATTTCACGTGTGCCAATAGGGTGGGTAAATGAGATTGACATCACCTGTTTCTTACTGGTGTGGGGATAACCCATTGTGGACAACCCTTAATTAAAATTCTTACTGGTGTTAAGGGCAGTTTCATTGTGCCTGAATAGGTTATCATTATTTTGAACCTATAAAAAGGAATTTTCTATTTAAACTTTTCTGTTCACTTCTCAGCTGACCTCAGCTACCCAGCTAGTTATGTAATATGAGGCTTTTTTTCTGTTAGTTGGGAAAGGGATTTATTAGATGATGTAAAACAATTTCCATTATTGCTTCAACTAGAAATAAAGCATAAGGACATACATTTAACCCTCTTGAACAATTGGGTTTTTATATGTTGATTTGCTTGGATTTCACAGGTGCAAGCAGTGTTATTACTACTGGGAGGACATGATGCATCAATTAATGTGCCCAGCTCCGAGTTCCTACTACAAGAAAAGGTCAAGGTATTCTTTATGCATATGACATTGCTTTGTGAAATTTATTTGAATCTATGGGTTCGGTTGTTAATATTTCCTTAAAATATGTTCAAGGCTGTGGGTGATTCCTCACGAGGCTCAAAGCTTTCACGAAGAATTGCATCCCTAGTAAGATTTCGTGAAAAGCGGAAAGAGAGATGCTTTGAAAAGAAAATACGTTATACTTGCCGAAAAGAGGTCGCGCAGAGGTATGTTGCCTTGTTTGTTGATAAATAACTCTTAGACTGTAGGACTTGTAGCTGAACTGAGATTTTACTTATAAGAAGTTTAATAAGCTAATTTAGCTTGTTCATGTGATAAAGTTTACCGCTGTTACCCTTTAATTAGATGACATGTTTACAAAGTCTATTCTTTCAAGTTTTGTTTGTGGTTGTATAGTCCTTTATGGAGCATCACTATTGCATATATTTACTAAAGTTTGCTAGCTATTACAAAATAGCTTTATTATCCTTCATCAAACTGTTCTTGACATCTCAACTTTCAGGTCTCATGTATGCTTGAAATATTCTTCTTAAGGATGTCATTGGTATATAATCTAGGCTTTGTAACCTTTCCCTTGGATAGGTTTACTGGATAGGGTGGATTCTGTAGGGATAAGCTTTTCGAATAATTCAATGTGGGGCCTTAAAATAGTTTATTGCATGTTCTGGACTTGAGCTGCTAAAAAAATAAATGATAAAGACTACATAATATCATTCTACAAATGTGCAAGCTTTCCTTAAGCTGGTAAATTAGGAACTAACTCATCTCCAAAGCACTTCTATTGTTTGTTCACTAGTTTTTTAAGTGCACTTCAAATTTGCTTGCCTGCTAGGATGCACCGTAAGAATGGACAGTTTGCATCATTGAAGGAGTGCTACAACTCAGCTGATGGAAGCTGGGATCAAAGTGATAACACTCCGGAATCTGCGTAAGTTTGAAGCTTACTTTGTTTCTTTCTTGTTGATGTTAATTGTGTTAACGGTGGTATTTATGTTTTTCTTCTGCATTTTTGCTTTTCTTATCAGTTTGGGTAGTTGTCAACATTGTGGGATCAGTGAGAAGTTAACTCCAGCAATGCGTAGGGGGCCAGCTGGTCCCAGAACACTTTGCAATGCCTGTGGCCTTATGTGGGCAAACAAGGTAGGTGTAGAATAGTCGTAAGTTGCTATATATGAATCTTTTCTTCTTGGGTACTTATAATTAGTTTTTGATGACATAATTATGCATCTTTGAAGACATTCAAACTTGAATTTAATTGTGTCATGAAATTTATTGAATTTTGCTTGATTTTGTTGACAGGCTTATACACTTTTGTAACACTTGTAGGTGCAAGCTATGACAAGTCTCACTTGAGACAACCTTCTATAATGTCATTATCAGATTTTGAATTATTTGGGGGATTGATTTTCCTTTCTATTGAGAGGAGTTAACTTTATTACCTTCTTCACATATATGCTGGACACAACATTCATTTAAATTATTATTAGATGCAGGCTACATACCTCCGTGGCTACCGCTGATTGAACATAGTTAATTAGATTATGACATTGTTTTATAGAAAGATCATTGTTGAAAGTATGGCCAAGGGTATGAGAGTACCCTTGGCTCTGATAGTGCACTAGGTATGCAATTACATGATACTGATTGGTTGTTAAAAGAGAAGAAAATGGAGAAAATATGTATTTGAACACGAGCATACATGCTCTTCTCCCTATAGAGGAGGGATTGGGGGTAAATGCAGTGGGCCTGCTCTTACCATTTCTTGTTGAATCTCTTTGGCATGATAACTTTGTTCTATAGCCTGGTTCTTGATTTTCTACTGGACAGTAGGCACATTCCAACTAAAATAGATGCTTTAGTATCCATGACAACAATACTAGTCTTTTGTGTGACTTACCATATTTTCTTTATTTTCATTATTTCAAGGGAACACTGAGAGATCTTAGAAAAGGAGGGAGGAATGCTCACTTTGATTCAAATGAACTGGTATGTAAATGGAGATACTGATGCCTTCTCCTTCACTACCATAGGGTTAAAATTCTTCACTTAATTTACGATCTCATTCTCAGTTGTTATTAGTGTCTTTTTTTGTTGTGAACCAGGTAGATATTTTATTTATTTCATTTGTAAGTCGTTTTATCTCACAGGAAACTCCAGCTGATATTAAGCCTTCAACCATGGAACCAGAAAATTCTTTTGCCAACGAGGATGAGCAGGTATTGATTTCCTTGGATAAGTTAAAACTAACATGAATGTAACATGATAATTTGCAACTGCAAAGTTTGTTGATGCACTAAGTGTTATGCATTTACTTTTAGCTAGGCTTGTTGTTAGTTGTCCCATCTAATGTACTTTTGTTTCATAAATAGAAGTAACGTTAACTGTGAAACACAGACCATTGATGCTTTATCATGGCATGACTCTTTGGACTTCTCATTTTCTATCATCAGGGAAGCCCAGAAGAGACCAAACCTGTACCTTGGGATCATGAAAATCACTTGATAAGATCAAACGAACAGGTGAGGTTCTATTAATGGTGGATGGGAGGGATTTATCTTGTGATTTTCCAATTATAAGACAGATTCTGAGATGAGATGATATTTCAGACTTGATGTACCAAGATTTCTTTTTTCAGTAGTGACAATCAAAGTGAGTTCATTATATGTCATGTCGGTGAGGATGTGGTCTTGTTTGAATCTTTCCATGTAGAGATGCATGAGAAGCTATCCTCCATATAATGAGCCTTTATCAAAATATAACAGAAGTGTGCACCTATTGTATTTTATTGTATTTTACTTCTCATATTATGTTTTCTTGTTGCCACATAACGTCAATATCTAGAATCATTAATTCGCAAGTAATTGCTTTTTTTCTGATTCACCAAATGTTGTCCATATTAGGTTGTCAGTGATTGCATTTTGTTGATTTACCAAATGTTGTCCACTGATATGCAGGAATTTGCAGAAAATTCACATCCTTTTCCCGTCCAAGTGGAGAATTCCTCAGTCAACCTTGATGATGAGGTATTTTGTTGGTCGTAAGCAATTTATTTTAGGTAGTGTTTGATATAGGGTGATCACTCTAAAAATTATAATGATCTACACATGGTGATTAGATCACTTTGTTTGGTGAGCACTAAGTGATCCTGCATGACAGTAATTTTGGATCATCGAGAGTGATTAGATCACTGTCTTGGAGGGTGATCTAATTCCCATATAACAGAGTTGAAAACTTTTATCACTAAGGTGAAGTAATATGTAAAATTAACAATAGTCAATTTTACTCATTTAATATGTGAATTAAAAATTTGTTGCATCTTAAAATTGTAATTATTTTATATTATATATTTTATATTTTCAAATTAATATTCATTGTAACAAGTTCAAAATAATTTGTGTTTTTTTTTTATTTTTTTAATAATTTATATAATATAATTTTTTTATTATGAATTTAATATATTAGTTTTATTTTCTAATTCAAATTTTTTCGATATAATTTATATTATAAAAATCAATTTACCTATTAATAAATATATTTATTAATTTAATAATTTAAATATATTTTATTATAAAACAAATAAATAAATAAATATTATTAATATTTTGTAAATTATTATCTTTAAACAACTTTAAAATTATTAATTTGTATAACATTACAATATGCATAGTTATTTTCGTACTTTTAAATAAAATAATATTTGATTTTTAGTAATATCAAACACAGTGATCTTTAATTTCTAAGAATTAATTATTATTAACCAAATAAAGTAATTTCAAATCATGAGTGTCAATCAGTAATTATATTACCATGGTGATCTTGTAAAAGATATCAAATGCTACCTTATTGTATTTTTGGCTAATACAAGCAATTTAACTTTTATGGGTTTGATGGCAACTATTTTTTCCGTATCATTTTAGAAAGCTCTGATGTTAAATAGTAATATTGTTCTCTTAAGTAATTGCACAAGGGAGAGATTATTTCTTCTTTTGGTTAAAAGACTTGTTGCAGAACATTTATTAGGAGCTCTTGAAGGCATATTTTACTCTCTTAGTAAATTTGTCTATTTGCATTAGGACATGCAGGAAACATTGGAAGAGCTTGCCGACGCTTCTGGGTCAGATTTTGAGATTCCTTCACATTTTGATGAGCAGGTACTGAATTTTTATCAACCTGGCATCTATCATATAGGAGACTAACCATATACTTCAGATTGGCTTAATAGCTAAAAATGTTATAACATCTTCGAGTTCACGAGTACAAAACTTACACAAAACTTACAGGTTGACATTGATGATAACAACGTTGGGACCGCATGGCCTGAGGCTTAAGATCTGGCAATGTGCATATGACGTTCAATCCTTCCAGATGCAGGTTTTTTTTTTTTTTTTTGTGACATGTTTGATCAGGCAGAGCTGGTTTTGACTAACAATAGATTTCCGGAGATGTGCCGTTTATGGACACAGGATTCCCCTGTATGTGAGTTGCTAGACTTAACGCAGGCATTTTGTTATTTTATGTAATGTGAATAATATGTTGTGCCTTATTTCACCTTCATTTCTGCTTCTTCCATTGATGTGCATTTAAGTATAGGCTTTTGTAGTCAGCCAGTGTTAATGTACAGTGAAGTAGTAATTCGGCCATGTTAAGTGGGACAAAATGCAGTATGAGGCGTAAATTAGGTAAATAGTGGCGCTACTTAATTGCCTGCTTAAATTACCAGATATTTCTTGTTAGGATGAGAAAATGTGAACTCGACATCCAGCTAACCTGGCTGGTGTACATTTTAAGGTGTTCTTCAGCCTAGGAGGATTAAGAATGAAAACAAAAGAAGAAACCAGTAAATTTTGGAAGGTACAATCATATAAGAGAATATATGCACAATATTCCTGAATGCAGTAGTTTGAACAATTTTCAACCTCAGCACTTAAAACCAGCGTTACTGCCATACCAGTCTACAATTTTCACTGTGTCGATCAAGAGGAAGAGAGCGTCCATCACTTAAATTGCGGAAGCAATTGCAGCACAATCAAACCAGTACTTACTAACATGACGGCGCAGCCAGAGTTGATACATGACCATATGAAATGCGTCATTTTCGATGGGAGGCGAGTTCCACTGCAGGTGACCCTGGACCTGATTTGCAGGCACACGAAATAATAAAAATCGTAGTCTCTTAAAATGCTTAATACAAAGAATGAAACAGAGAAAAGATTCATCACATAGGTTTTAGCATGCAGATTCTGTTATCCTGGCCTATTTTTCTAATTCAATACAAGTTGGAGACTATTGAGCTTTGCGTGCAATGCCTTAAAGCAAAAGGGGATAACCAGCATTCGTTACCTGCACTGTCTTGTAATGTAGAAATCTGAATTTGCGGTAAGGTATTCTCTTAAGAATACGCTTGAGCTGTCGAATGTCATCTTCCTTGACTATTATGGAAAACTTCCTCCAGTCAAGAATATCATTGAATGGCAAATCATAGTGGTCTGACGATGTAACTGGAAGAAGAAGAAGAGCAACAGCTTGGAAGCCAATCACAATAGATGAAGGAAATGGGAACATTGAACCACAACACATGACCCTTTTAAAAGCTAATTAAGAAAAGGAGGCCAAGAAAAAAACATTTATAAATGAGATATTGGAATAGGATCTCACGAGGAACACGTCCAAGGTGAATGGAGAGTGCTATGCGTGAGCCATGAACTTTTGACCAACCAGGACAAATGCAAAATTTAGCCGTGTTAAACTTATCTAGGTGTGGGAATTTTCCGGTAGCATTATTTATACGTTTGCTCTGGATGTCAAGCTCTGTATCATTCTTCGAAGCACTAACCAGTTGACGTTTCAACTTAGAATTGCTATTGCCTGACCAAAATCCGAGTGTAGTCCTGCAACGTAAATACGTGCGCCAGTTGATTCGTGTAATTTTAGAGGTAAATTGGTGTGCAAGTCACAGATAGAAGAATGTAGTATAAATTACCATCAGTTTAATGATGAATCAATGTTTCGGGATTCGCATTTATATGTTTCAAGAGCATGTATTGGGTCAATGGCATGTTATACCGAAGCTACCTGTTCTTACGGTCAAATCTAGCAGCTTGAAGAGAAAATGGCTGAATTATTTGAGGGAGAGGAAAATCCTTGTGTGGGATATATCCATCATCATCTCGGGGTGTACACCCAACTCGAATTGAATTTTTGACAAGATGTGGCACTCGGGCAGCAACATTCAAGCCAATGTCGTGGCAAGTCACGAAAAAATGATCAGCACCTAAAGTTCTATTCCAGAAAGGGTACTTGATGATTAAGCTCTCAACATATTCCTGGACAGTACTTGTCATGTTCTCGTAAGAGAGTCCCTGCACATCAGAGCCAACGAGTTCCCCAGAAAGGGATAGAATTCAGGAAAAAAAAATCAGTAAAAAACAAAAAAAAAATTGACAGAGAAATAGTACTGTAAAAAGAACGCAAAAAAAGAGACGTAAAAGATTACCTTGCCTCTCATTTTATGACAGGAAATGGGAATAAAGAAGAGATGAGCCTTTTTTCAGGATGATTAGTAAGAAACCGACTTTCTCTAATATTCTTAAAGAAATACCCTTCACTCGTATAATTCCACGAAAGACTCCTTGGTGTATGATAATACGTATTATGGTCTCCATCTGGGTACGCAGATCTTGAAACGTCTCTCCATCTCTGCATAGTTCAGCTTGAAAACCTCCGGAGAGTGAAAGATTGAAGAAATTTTACTCTTTGGGTTGCTCCACCATTCAAAAAACCTTCCATAAAATTTATCAAAAGAAAGTGAAAAGAATTAATGAAAGAAGTGAGGAAAAGAGAAGGAAAATGAGTACCAGACGAAAAGTATAGTGGAACTGGCGTCGGAGGCAACTGATCAAATACCAATAGGTGGACTCTTGTGAAAGAAAGAAGCCGACCCACAAACTGTACATAAGAAAAGTGGCAGGTGCGGAAAACAGGACTTAACGTAGACGTAGTCGGAAACAGGATGCAGAGATTCTTGGCATTATTAATTTCTTGGGAAAATATGGGAATTTTCTAGAGAAAATGAGTTTTCTTTGAATAGCAGAGGTAGGAAAGGGCTTATAACAGGTTTAGAAGAGTGTTAGAGTCAAGTTACGTAGCACTAGTAAAGGCCTAAAGGCCCCGTATTATTATTATTATTATTACTCAACAAGTTCTTCCATATTATAAAATGGAAAATTACAATTACCCGTTTCTTTACAGGCAAAACCGAAATCGAGGACACTCAAATTTTACATTGATATATGAAATAACATTGGATATAAACAACATGGCTAGCATTCTTGATCTAGATACATTATCACCCATGTAGTAGGACCGCGTAAACTGCCTGATGTCAACAAATATGAAGGGAGAAAAAACAGACTGCATAAAGAATTGTTAAGGAAACGGAAAAACTATTTTTTTCTGACAAAAAAGCAAGTTTCTCACTCCCATTATTCATTTCTGGAGCAATAAACAATGCGATTATAACCCTATAATATGGTAGTAGAACAAGGAAAATTTATGGAGCAAAAAGCAAATGCATAATAGCTGACTTGCAGATACCCAGCTAGAAGATAACTGCAATTTACCCTTGAGCTAGCTTCGGTTGGAGGAATTACAAAGATCTTGAGGGAGAAATTAGACTAAGAAATCAAAGGAATATAATGCCTCCATATTTGACAATTGCACATTCAAGCGGCTTACAGATCAACTGTAGGATAGAGGCCTGGCATGTAACTACGTCCACTTCCATTTGAATCTGCATTGGCATAAAAGTGTGACTGTAGTTCCCCCGAGTGAGATGACTTGCGAGATTTTGGGTTTTTAGGAGAAGCTGCATAGGAATCATTGGAACCACTACTTGTAGAATACATTGATGATGTAGGCAGTCCATGGATCTTTGGTAGGCCCGTTGGATCAGACCCCAAACTGTATCCCCTCTCAACTGTTTCAGCTTCCAATGGCAATTCGTCCAACGTCTATTCGAAAGGATTTTAAAAAGAAAAACCAATAAATTTAGTTAAAACTTCCTTCAGCACTTAATGTTCTAATTTAGTTAGAAAACAAAATTAAGCAAATATTAATATGATGACGTATTGACATGCATGTAAAAATGGAAAACGACATTTGGCATTTGTACTCTTAACAAACAGATGAAAACTCTAGTGATCATTCTAATGATGTGACATGTTGACATGTTGACATGAAGATATGCAGAAAAGAGAACCCACCCTGAATGCCTGTTGGAGAACTCGGAGTGTTTCTCGAGTACGTTTTCTCTTAGAAGCAATCTCATCAGGTTCCTGCAACATTTCTTCAAACAGATTTTCCCTGTTTTGGATCATAAGACATACAGGATACTCAACAGTCAACAAAGAGATTATCAAAAGGATAAATAATTGAAATCAAGTCCAATGGCACAAAACTCTATATCACCTGTAAAGTTTTTTGATAAAGACATTGTGAAGTTCCCGTTTCGTATGGTTTACCTGGATATAGATATTATCAACAGACAGAGATCAAAAACTCATGTAATGCTTCGGTTTAACAATGCAATATTGCAACACAAATTATTTTTAGGAAGACAGCTTATATTTAAAAGAAATCACAACAGTTTCAGGTTCCAAAATAAGAAATATATGGTAAACATAACCTCTTAAAGCTCAAGCAAACTTTTTGACTAACTGGCTAGCTCCATGTTATAATTGGACAAGTAAAACTGGATACAACCTTCATACAATGCATGACTATTCTACTGTAACTAAAATACATCAACCCACACGCAGAAAATAAAATAGTAACCTTGTTCATCAGCCACGATATATGCTTCTCTCCACATTAAACTAGTGGAGGATGGAAATCAACATACTTAGAACCAAATATTGTTTAGGTCAAGCCACATAGATGTACCAAACTAATATAAGCTGAAAACTGGAAATTAATTTGGCTAACAAGATTTACAATCTCCTAAATAGAACACCATAGTGCCTTTCAGAATTTCATAGTTATCAGGAACTTGGCCGTGAAATGGATAAAATAGCGAAAAGAAACAAGGAAATGTAAAATGCAAATCTACTCAGTTTAAAACTTACCAAGAAGTGCATAATTGCTTTAGGCACAGAATCCTCTATATTCTTCCTAACAATGTCATAGTATGATCTTAAGAGCAATTTGGTGATAGCAATTTCAATAGCTTCAGTTTCTGAACGGTCTTCTGAAGGCCTTAAGACAGGTGGGGGCTGAAAAGAATAAAAAACATGCTTGTCAAGATCGAATTAACACATTTTTAAATTCAGCACCGGATCCTTGATGGATTTATCTGATGTGTAGGCACCTCTCTAAGATGGATCATGGTAAAGGACTGTTCCATGTTATGAACAGGTTCACTATATGGCTTGTTTGTCAAGCTCTCTTTCACTGATGATCGGTTATCACTGCCGCCAAATATTGATGAAATACCCCAAGTTGAACCACTTGTACTTCCTGATAAAACCCACATATAAGACATCATTTTACTCTTATGATGCTTGATAATTATATCAAAATAGGGTGAGAACTATCAAAAATACAAAATTCACACCGCAAAATCCACCAGACCCCTTTCAGGGAAAAAAAAGGAGAGAGAGAGAGAGAACCCTGAATATTTGGCTGTCCTACTCTTATCACAAAACTATCAGAAAAGAACCATCAGATGTTAAAGAAAGATATAACAAATTCAAAATGACAGCCTAAAATGCATTACCAGTGGATAAAACTTTTTCCACATCTGCAACAGGACGTACTCCCTGCACACAAATGGAGTAAAACGTTGCAAGTCATTTATAATAGAAAACAGACAGATGAGGAAGAAAAAGATCGGAAAAGCAAAAAGGAACAGACAGGTAAGGAGAGCATGTATTTGGCAGCAGAAACACAAATTTTCATGCCTGATCAGCCACGTTTCCATTAACTTGTCTTGCAAGAATAGCCCAAGATTTAATACCTCTTTCAGAAGTAGGAGCCTTATCAGGCTCCAAACTATCCTGATTAAGTCAACAAAAAAACGGAGAAAGAATGAAAATCAAGAGGAATTGGGATTAAATAAAAGCCATAATACCAGAGAAATGACCATTAGTAGAGACCTTTGATCTAGATATAGACAAAGGAACCCTGGAATTCTTAATCTGCTGATTGGCAAGCTCTACAGCCTTGCTCCCACCAATAAAATTTGGGTGGGAAGTATTTATGTAATCCATCTGCAAAATTTAATGGCATAAATCACAAATCACTAAAGATGAAAAGAACATATGAATAAAACATGTATTGCATTCAACTGTACCAAGTTCGTATCTTGTAACAGGACTAGGAATAGAAACATAAAATAATATGAAGTTAAAATTAGCATACCTCCATTTCAACAATATGTCCTATCATTGTCTCAGATGGTTCAAGGCCTTCTCGGAGAAAGTTCCCAATAACTTGGTCCATATGCTTTCTTAGAACAGGAAACCGCTGCAATTCACTCACCATACAGCGATGGCTAATCTGGGAAAAAAATTATTCTATTAGAAAATCTAGATTGTCAAGTGATAGAGCTGTGAGACTACAATGATAATCTGGAAGATAAATCCACCTTTATTAACTCATCATATATGAACCTGGCACATTGAAGGCTTGGATCTAGCAAACGTGCTATTTGCCTTCGAACAAGTACTTCAAACGGGACCTATACATAAATGTTGAATTATAACAATATGCACCAAGTTTAACATAAAATAATCCCACACAACAATTTGGAAAACAGCAATGTAGATCTGTATAAAAACAAAAATATTCTTAGATTAGACATTTGAAGTAGCAGAGAGTAAGACCTACTTCTGGTACAAATAGTGCAGATCGAGGACCAGTTGCATTCTGAATGGCAGTTCGAATGTCATCATCAGTTAAGTCTTCACATGGATCAACCTCCTGTAAAACAAATCAGTTAACAGAGAAAATATTTACATAAAAGCACTCATACAGAGGCACGTTCTATGCATCATCAATTTGTAGAGTTGCAATGTAGGATCCCTAATGTCTGTGTTTTAAATGAAGCAGTAGCTCTGTGCAAAATTTCAGAAGGTTTTATTTTATTATCAAAAACAGAGAAGGTGAGAAATTAATATCATGAACCCAGCTAACCACTTTTTATCCTGTCCTTACAGATACCATGCACAAAATCACCCACGGGGGAGTGAAATGCACACATTAGCAGAATCAACAGAAATGTTAATGATCAAGATAGTAATATATTACCAATATTTAGTAAAATGATGTGAAAAGTAATTAACAACCAACTTTTGTACAGTGATGTCAAGAAACACCCTGAAGATAAAGAGATGTATAATAGAATGCACCTCTAAAATGGAATGGAAAAGAAATCCAGCCAACTAAAAATTCCTCAGAGTGCAAAGGCATGCAAATATCAAGGCGCAAATATCAGTCTACATACCTCTAAGCTCTTAACAAAGATTGATTGGAAAATATAATGAATCCTAGCTCCACCAGACAGCTCATGTGTAGACATTTCTCCATTTTTCCCCTCTACCATTGATGAGAATGCTGTTTCCAACAAAGCATTCATTCATGGAATCATTACCAATTAGTAGAATATATATGATATCAGAATATTAATAAGAAAATTTACAGATAACCAAACAAAACATTTACCTTCACAGTATTTTGAAAGAATATTCAATAGAAGAGCTCCCTGGCCAGCCTATGGGTTATAAAACCATAATCTTGTCATAAGAAAATTATTTCAGATACTTTTTCTCAACCAAGTTCATGGTAGACAAACAAATATACATGCCTTTGATTCTGTGATTTCTCCATAGCTTGCATGCTCCTTTGCCACAGAAACCAGTGCAGAACTAATGCGTGATTTCAGCCCAGGAAGTATTGCCTTGATATGTTGAACTAAAATCTACATTTGAAAAGCATAAAGAGACTCAACAACGAGATAAAAGAAAAATACAGAAATTCCTCAATTGCCAAGCTATACATGTCTCTATGCCATGCACAACTAGGTCACAAGGCTGAACTGAGAGGATTGCAAATGAAGTCCCCAACTAGCATAAAGCCTTCAACAGATCCTATAAGCATGAAGGTGACTTGATTAAGGTAAAGGAACAAAGGAAAGCAGGAATCCTCCAGATATAACAAGGCCTACAGAAAATTGCTCTAGATAGACTGATAGAGTAGAATGATGCAAGTTTACAATCTGCTCAGAAGGAAATGGGACATTTCGTTTTCACCAATGCATAACATAAAGGAGAATAAATAGAAGGACAGAGGTAAGTAAATATTAACAGAAAGTGTGGACACTAGAGCAAAGCATTGACATTCCAAATTTTGAATTATACCCCATAAAAGTTTTGGAAACTTCATCTTGGAAATATTTTACCTGGTTCAACTTCTTTGCCAACTGAGGAACACCACAACGATCAGCTAGACCATTATATACCTGCATACCAGTAAAAAGAAATAAGCAAACTGATGATGGAAACTGTATCAAACCATGAACAATTGCTAAATGCTGGTACAGCCATACCGGACGACTTCGGAAGAACTTTTCCTCTGCCACAAGGGCATCCTTGATACTCTGGTTGAGTAAAATATCCTGTTTAGAGGAGAACATTAAAAGTGCAATCAAACTATCACCACACTAGTAGAACAAGATGCCTCATAAGCAGTATATGATATACAATTAAGTGCAAAAAGGAAAACATCTAGAAGCAAAACTATGATAATTTACTAATCATTAAAATAGCTTTTAGTTGTTTTGTAGAGGGAAGAAATAAAAGGGTTTTTGAGATAGAAGAATTATCCATGTCAAAGCTCTTGTATGCATGGTATGACTAAAAAAATAAAAAAGAAGTCATCTAGAAGCAAAACTATGATAAGTTACTTCCCATCAAATAAGTTTAAAGTTGCTTTTGCGAAGGGAAGGAAATAAAAGGGTTTCTCAGGCAGTAGTGTTACTCATATCAAAGCTCTAGTATAATATTTATTGATATGTTATGATGTAAAATCAGCCATGTACTTGGCTTTTGCACCCTTGAAACGTTTTAGTAATCTATTTTGATGCCTTTGACTAAACATCTACCATCAAACCCAAGCTCCATTTTTCTCTACACTATATATACTTCAGGTTGCCTAGAAACATAAAAGTTTTGAGGATATCACACGCCATTTGAAATGGACAGTGAAGTGAAAATGGCATATGACCACAAGAAACAAAATGACAGGACATTTAAATGGACAGGAAGATCTCACCATGCAAAATGGCATGAAAAGATTAATATATGTTCTAATTCAAAGGAGCAACTTGAAGAAAGATGAAAATGTCATTAGAGCATTTTGAAGTAATAAATATAGCATAATATTTAAGAAAAATAACTGCAAAAATGATCAATCATCCACATTAACAAAATCATAGAAATAATTTATTTAAAAACAGTAATAAAATACAAGTTGATGAATTAATATCTTCATTTCTGTTAGGTTCCATGGTTACCTCCTGACTACGATTCACAACACCTATATAACCAAGTCGAAGAGGAATCACTTTTCCAAGCAACAGGTTACGAGCATCAGTACCTCTGTCCATTATATCCAACTGATTCATATTCATATAAGCAAAAACTAATCAGAAACCTAAAACAGCTTAAATATAAGTTTGTCATAATTTGAAAAGGAGATTGTCACATTGATAGATGCACCTTTGTAATAACACCAATGGTTCTATAACCTGCCAAAAGAAAATTTGCAAAACTGTTCAATTAAATAAACATCAAACAGCAACTCAATGAAGAAGTTGGGATTTTGATAGTAGAAATTACCATCAGGATCAGCATTTCCTGCAATTTGAAGTGCATCAGAGTTTGCTAAGTCTGAATTTGCTGGAGTAACAGCAAGAATCAGACAGCTAGGCTGTTTAATGTATGACATGATCATTGTTCTAATTCGAGCCTCAATGTCAGAGGGCTGGTCACCCACAGGAACCTTTGTGATTCCAGGAAGATCCACAAGAGTGATATCAAGAACATTTGGTGAGAAAATCTTAAGTCGAATCTGCTTATCTGACACACCTTTGTTTCCTCCAGCCTCCCTATCAGTCTCAGCCTGCAGTCAATAGAGATTTACTTAACATAAAGATATTTTTCATTTTTTTTCATACAAAAAAAAAAAAAAAAACCTCAATGCCACAAATTATAAACTTTCGTTCTTGATCTGATAAAAACTATTATTAACTGGCAAGCAATAAAAGGCTAGAGTTTGTTAGATACCTAATGGGAAAGCCAAAAAATCTAACTAAGATCCTCAGCCAAGAACCTCTAAATTAAGTGATTCTCTTTTCTACTCGCTGTAACTATCCATCTAAAGCCCAAAAACTATGTATTGAATTCAATATCATTGTCACCTAAAGCCTAATTATTCCTTTTGGCAAGCCCTCAATTTCCCTAACCACAACCTATTGTGCCACCAGCTACGGTATCTTAATTATTTAACATATCATCTAATTAATATCTTTCTCACTTCAATATTTATCTCGCAATTCTAATACTCCTTAAGCAACCACTCAGCACAGGAAAATTCAAAAAGACCGAACTTCACAAAAACACATACTTAAAACCCTAACTTTTTTTAATTGAATAATAAAAAAGCCTAACTTTTGAACTTCTCAATCATAAAAGGCAAGCAATAAAGAACCTGAATCTCCCTGCGAATCTCGGAGAAGTCAGAGAAGCGCTTGCCAGGCAAGTGAAGAAACTCGCCATACTCCTCCTCAGAACCATCAGGTTTACGCTTGGTCTGGAGGAGCTGAAGGACGAGAGGGCGGCGCGTGCAGATATCGGAACCACGAGGCAAAAAGTCACGGCCAACGAGAGATTCAAGCACGCTGGACTTGCCACTACTCTGGCTTCCGACCACCGCCACTTGCGGCAACTCTATCGTGGAGTGGCTACCAAGCTGAGCGAATATGTCCTGGAGCTTGTTCACTATGGGTATAACGGAAGATCCCAATGGAGCCGCGGATGACTGCGGCGGCGTCGATGCTGCTGCTTCTTCTGCCATTGGTTTTCAAATGATTGATCGATTGACGAAAAAGATAAGAGAATTAGAGAGGAAAATTTTATGAACCCTAGGATCTTGAAACTTTTTTTTTTAGAGAGAGGGAGAGAGATCTTCAATCTTTGATCGTATGATTAAAGGGGCAAATTTAATCGTGGTTTTGAAAATATTTTGGGGGATTTTTTTGAAAAAATAAAATTAATTACTGTAGTATTTTTTAGGTATTACCACTAAACAGTAGTGTAAAGGTAATGGAAAATAAAGATCAGTAGGTTATGTTTTTTTGTTTTTAAAAAAGAATACTAATCGCTAGTGGCATAGGTGATGGAAAATAAAGATTAGTAGGTTATGTGATTTTGTTTTTAAAAAAAAAAATGTTTTGAAAAAAAAAATTAATTTAAAGGAAAATTATTTGTGCGGAGGTGCGAGTGAAACTAAGTTTTGAAAATGATTTTATTTTTTAAAGAAAAATGAAAATTCGAAGTAGGAAGCCTCACGCAAAACATTCAGAACGGAAAAGAAAAGATGGCTTTTGGTCACGTAGCAGCACAATAAAATAAATTAAGGAAATTGAAAATACTGATGTGATTTTAAAATAATATAAATAAAAACATAAAAATAATATAAGTTAAAATTTTAATAAAAATTTAAAAATAATTATTTTGGTTTTTTAGGGATAATATTTCATTTGACATTGAATTATTATAATTTATCTAATATAATATCTAAATTAAAAAAATTTCTAATTAAATATCTAAACTTTATTTTTTGCATATAAAATTGTTTCAACTTTTAATACTATTAAAATAATATTGATATAATATTTAAATACTGATGTATATGATATATGACTATCATGTAACAATAATATGACTACCATGTATCATTTTTTAAAATTATATTTGCAAATTTTTTTATTTTAAAAAATAATACATGATTGCTATATCTCAAATTACATGACAATAATATATAACCTATGATAGTATTTAAATGTCGCGTTAATATTATTTTATTGGTGTTAAGGGGTTGAATAATTTAATACACAAAAATAAAGTTTATATACCGGATTAAAAAAATTTTAGGTATTACATTAGAAAAAGTGTAATAAATCATAGGAGGTCATGTGGGATATTTTTTTTTTTTTGTATTGATATGATTTATAACACATAATTTTTATATAAAAATAATATAAATACACAAATTACTAATTCAAATGGGATATTATCTTTTTTATATTAATACGAATTATGACATATAATTTTATATAAAAATAATACGAATACATAAATTATCAATATTTTACATTATATAAATAAAATTTATCAAATCTATCGTAAAATACTATTAATAAAAGTATTGTAACTTAAAGCAAATTGGACAAATGGCTTCACCTTGATTACTTGTTAATCATTAGCAAAATTTTTTTATTAATTAACTTAAAACTAAAAACCTAAATCAAGGAATATTAAAAATTTTGTAAAAATGAAAAAAAAAAAAAAGAGATAAGAGATAAAAATACTCATTTGTCAAATCAAAAAATATCATGAACATAAAGCAAACTATCAACATTGATCTCATTGGAATATTTTATTTTCAACTTTATACTTGCATTAATTCAAAATTAGAAAAAGATTTTTTAAAAACTCAAAAAATAAAAAAAATCTAACACAAAACCTTTTACTTATTTTTTTTTTCTTATTCAAACCTGAAAGATAAAACAAAAAAAAAATTCAATCCTTCAATTCATAACAAAAAAAAAAAAAAAAAAAACTTACTCATCCAAGAGGTTCTCCTCTTTTTCACCAATTATTTCTTCTTCTTTTTTTATTCTTCCGCTTTTCTCTTTTATATTTGGCTAGTTGCTATATCACTTTTTTTTTTTTTTATCCTTGTTATTTATTAGAAATGTATCCTTTTATTTTTCTATTTTTTAATGTTATTATTTTACTTTTAAAAACTTATATGACATATGTTAACTTCATAATACCAAATGTCAACTTAATTTAGCATGCAACATAACAAATAGCAATTAACATTTTTTCATCTACTAACACAAAAATCATTTGAGCGAATTACACATTCACACCCCACTTACAAAACAAAGATAGAAAAGAACAATGAAATAGAAAAATGCCAAATGTCAAGATCAGGATCTTTGAGGATTTTTTTAATCTAGTGTTGTATAGATTAGTAAGAGTATTAATTAATTTTTTATAAAAGAGATAATAGTTAAAAATAAAAAATTAGAGATATTAAATTTTAAATATTAAATTTAATGAACATCATTTAAAAAAAGTGATTATATGGATTATTAATATAATAATATTTTGGGTAAAAGACTAAAAATGTTTTTAGGGGGCATTTGGTTCGAGAAAAATTAGATTACTGGTCGAAATCTTACTTTTCGTAATCTGGTTTCTTAGTTTAGTTCATGAAATCTAATTCTTAAGGTTTTCTAAGATTCCCAATAGTTTTTTTTTTTTTTAAAGTGATAACCTTGAATCAAAAACCCATATTTCCCTAAGGTTTTTTAAATTTCCTAATGGAATGTAAAATTTGTCCCACATTTACCATCAATAATAATTTTTTATTGTCTATTTTATCCTTAAAAATCAATGTAATTATATGATAAAATCAAGACCTATTCTAACATGTACAGATTCATTTCTAACCATATGACTGGATACCTAGCAATAATCAAGTGTAATTGAACATTTATAAATTTAAATATTTGATTGTAACTAATAAAATTTTAGAAAGATAATGTTTCATAATTATACAATGTAGTTGATCTTATATAAAATAAAATCGAAATAAATTCAAAAATTTTCATTTACACAATGTTACTATGTTAGAAATATAGTGATATATTGTAATATGTTATGAAAAAAATAATTATAATAAAAACATTTTTAAATGAAAAATGTTATAGATTGTTAAAAATTTTTAATTTTGATTTTTTTATAATTTCAAAAGTGTTACTTTTTTAATATATGAAATGTAATTGATGGTAAAAAATAATAACAAAATAAATTTTATATTTTCAATATCAACAACATTTTTTAGTGTGAAAACTTAGTAATTGATAAAAACATAGTAATTAAAAGATGGAAAGTGATTTAAGATGAAAGTGATATTGATTTAGATTTAAAATTTATGAATTCGCTGGATTCATGGACATTTCTAAGATAAAAATATAATATTTGTTGAAAATATAAAGAATATCTTTTAAAATTTAACAAAGACGACATTTCTAAGATAGAAAACGTAATTTTTATTGAAAATATAAAAAAATATTTTTTTCAAAATTTAACAAAGATAATGCTTCTAAGATTTAAAAAAAAAACATAGCCTTTTATTAAAAACATGAAAATATTTTTCAAAATTAAACAAAGACAATTTCTAAAATAGAAAACTAGTTTTTGTTTAAAAGATGACATTTTAAAGATAAAAACACAGTCTTTATTCAAAACATAAAAAAAATATTTTTCAGAACTCAACAAAAACGATGCTTCTAAAATAAAAATGCAGTCTTTCTTGAAAAGAAGACATTTTTAAGATAAAAAAGCAATTTTTGTTAAAAAATAAAAATATATATTTTCAGAATTCAATAAAGATGATGTTTTTAAGATAAAAATGTAATTTTTGTTAAAAAGATGACTTTTCTAAAATAAAAATGTAGTATTTGTTGAAAATATGAAAAAAATAAAAATAAAATATTTTTACTGAATATTATTACATATAAAATCTAAAATACATTTATCTAATATTATTGTACATAAAATTTATTTAAGGAGCTTTGCCTTTGGGAGCTTCGCCCCTAGAACCCCTAGAAAGGGGTTTACCACTCCTTTTCAACCTTCATGTCAATCTTATAAGGAAGGTTGACCAACATTTTTTTTTTTTGCATATGACCAATTAATGTTATGATAATAATTAGAATTATAAATTTATATTTATTGAAAAAATAAAAGTTATTTTTCATAATTACTTAATTTTAATGAAAACAACATGTTATTTACTTGTGATATGTCATTCACATGTCATTATTATGAATACTACATGTTATTAAGTACAACATAGTAAAATATTTTATTAGGTAACCTTACATTCTTATGAATTAAACATAAAAATCTTATATTTTTTAATTCAATAAAAACTCAAGAGTTGAACATTTTCTTTCAATATCACTTTCCCCTTAAATCACTTTTCTTCTAAGAATATAAGAATTGATAAACTAAGACACCCTTAAACTTTATCATTTTATTTATAAAAATCTTTATATTTTTATTACATTTAAATAAGTCATTATATTTTAATTTGTATCCAAATAAACTCTTTTTTCAAACTAATTAATGCAATTTTTTTCTAGTATTTTTAATCATGTAAAAATGAATTCTTTATATAAGTAAAAATTTTACTTCAAGTATTTATGGCTGTGAGAAACTGATATCTTATATGAATTATATATCATGTTAAAAGCTTTTTTAGGTACAAATTAAAAATTAAGGACTTTGAATACAATTAAAGGTTTATGATTTTTTTTGGTGCAATAAAAATATAGGAATTTATATAAATAAAGTTATAAAATTTAAGGGTTTTTATATCATTTTAACCTAGTATTTTATATGAAATTGTTAATATTTACCACCCACCAAGTCCTTATTGAATTAACCGCAGATAAAGTCCGTTACTAACCTAAAACATATGAAAACCCCAAATCCATCTAGAGTAAGGATAGTGAAAATAATCTTGACAATTAAGGAGGCATAAAAGCACTTTTTGGCAGTATCTTTTGATCAACAGCAAAAGCCATTAGTCGGTGCTTTTGCTGGCGAAGCATGATTTGGAAAAAAAAAAAAAGTAAATATCTTGAAATATGACAAAATTATCTTTAGATTAACTGTTGGTATGTAAATTTATCATTTTTATTATATTTTATTTCAAATATTTACTATTACCATTGTTTTTTTGCATAATGACAATTTCCTTGCGCCTTTTTCTCTTTCCAAAGCTAAATTCAACTTGTGAATATAGAAATTATCTAAGGTAATGTTTAGTATAAAGTGATCATTTTAAAAATAGGATGATTTACACATGATAATTAAATCGTGTTTGGTAAGCACTTGATGATCATAAATGATAGTGATCTTAGATCACCAAGAGTGATCAGATCACTATTTTAGAAGGTGATCTAATTTTCATATAAAATTATAAGAAATTTTATCACCGAAAGAAAATGATATGTAAAATTAATAATAATCAATTTTATCTATTTAATATGTGAATTAAAATCTTGTTGCATCTTAAAATTTAAATTATTTATATTATAAATTTTTATATTTTCAAATTAATATTTATTATAACAAGTTCAAAATAATTTGTATATATTTTTTACTTTTTAATATTTTATATATCATATAATTTTTTGTATTATGAATTTAATAAGTTGGTTTCATTTTTTAATTTAAATATTTTTTTATAATTTATATTATAAAAATAAATTTATCTATCAATAAATAAATTTATTAATTTAATAATTTAATTATATTTTATTATAAAATAACAAATATTACTAATATTTTACAAATTATTATATTTGAACAACCATAAAATTTTTAATTTATGTAATTATTAAATATGCATTATTTTTTTTGTACTTTTAAATAAAATAATGTTTAATTTTTGATAATACCGAATATAATGATCTTTAATTTCTAATAATTAATCATTTTTAATCAAATAAAATAATTTCAAATTATGAATGTTAAGATCATCTCAATAATAAATCATCCAATAATTACATTACTATGATGATTATGTAAAAGATATCAAACACTAATTAATGGAAAAGTAATTGAATTTAGTGAAAATTTCTCTTACCCCTTTTAGTTTGAAAAACTCTTCTTATCAATGATAAAAACTACACTAAATCCTCGGAGGTGTTTAAAAGAAAAAACTAATGAAAAAAGAGGGAAAGATAGAAGATAATATATATATATATATAATTATCATCCATGAAATTTTATTGAAAATAACTTATAGCTATTAGTTTGAAAAATATATTTTATGTCTCTTGAAATATTAACTATAGTAAAACTTCAAATTGATTTTTTTTCAAATTTTACTTTGAATATTAATAATACCTTAATTTAACACTTACTCGAATTAAACTATAACTTTTTGGTAAAAAATCGAATATATCTTAGTTAAAATCTAATTTGATATTTAATAAAAATACTTTTAAAGCTAATTAGATTCTCATAATTTTGTAATTGGTGCAATGAAATATTGAGTTTGATGTTTAGATTCATCCATTTTTTGGTGCAGGGAGTCTGCGAGTTAATGCTACGTGCTTAATTATCATTACCATGGAATTTCCAGCTTAATTGTGGCATTAATTTTTGGATTGCACGCAATTTCCTACCAGCTAATTATTTGTTAATTATTTTAAATAATACAATTTTGAGTCGATATAGATGCTAGATCGATTGAATAAGTCAACAAAATAAAAGGCATGCCAAATAATTAACTAGCTAGTAAATAGTACGAAAATAAATCAAATCTTGATACGTGTAATTTTTTATTTTTTAATTATTTTTTAAAAATAACAAATATTTATATACATGCGTGGTGAGCTTTAAATCTTGCAATTCAAAATTATACATGTCATCGTAAACCTTAACTTATATAATACTCTTTTATAATGTTGCTTGCAAACTACGACCACCAAGGAAAAAGTTTTTTTTTTTTTTTTCTACGTTTATTTGTTTGACAATAATATCACCATTTTCCAGGAGCTAAGAGAAAATGTATTCTAAGAAATTTCTATAAAAAATCAAGGTATCTAAATATCTAATATTATATATATCTAGTAAAATAAACATCAAAAAAAATTTTTTTTTTGGGAAATTTAAAGTTTCATTATTTAAACTCTAATCATTAAAATTAAAATTTTAATATTTTATCAATAAATCTCACAATTAGTTATCATTATGATCGATTCAAGAAAAAATGTCTAACTTATAACTTGTGTCTTTTAATTTTGTGGATGAACAAAGAAATGGCACCAATTAAATTATCTACAGAGGATTTAAAACATATGACTGAAGATTTTAGCAAAGAAAACTTGGTGGGGAGAACCCAGTTCGGGAAATTGTACAGAGGAAAGTTTATTCCAAAAGGCTCAAACTCGAGGGATGCAAAAAAAGGGACGGTGAAGGTATAGAAAGATGCTGCAAATACAACCCGCACTGATCTTTCTCCAGATGACACGAAGAGTAGACTTGAAGTATGTGTATTCAAAGACCAGTATCCCTCCATGTTTATATATTAAAATTGCATGTTTTAATTGTGTTTTTTTTTTTTTTCTATTATTTTGTCATATATATTGGTATTTTTCTAGGATGAAATGAAATTCCTGCAAGATCCAAGTGTGGAAAGCCATCCAGGCATGGTGAAATTAATAGGGCATTGCTGCCAGGATACAACAATATATGGTGCTGTCTATGATATAAACCCAGAAGATACATTGCAGAACATAATAGATAAAGGTTTGACAACAGTATGAATTTAAACTTTAATTTTCCTCGCAAAATTTTCATTGCTTAAAACTTTAAATTTGCATCCATTAAAATTGTTCTATAATTTAATTCAGACAGTTTTACGTGGGTGCAAAGAATGAAGGTAGCACTTGGGCTGGCACGTCTATTGGAATTTTTGCACAATCGAAGCTCACCGTATCTGGTTTTGAATATTGATGCTGCACATCCATTGCTTGACCAGGTTGGACCTTGTTAATTTCTTCTGCAGTTTTCAAACTAATATTCCATCTAACTGTAAAAGATTTACTTTCTTAATTTGGGCAGGATTTCAACCCTATGTTAATTGACTTCGGTTTGTTAAAAGGAGGAATTATTGGCGAATATAAGAAGGCTGATACGCATGGACTTCATAAATTTTGCTTGTTTCCCTGTCATACAGGTTTAATGATTAGTATTTACGAAGTGTTTGCTTAGTCGATCTTTATATAAATAGATAGATAGTTTGATTTAGCTCAATAATATTGAAATCGACTCAACATTAAAGGTCTCTAATTCGAATCTCAATCGTAAATAAAAAAAAAATCTAGACAATCTGGTAATATTTGTGTACAAATTTAAGCTTTTTTTTCATAATAATCTTGAATTTAAGTTTTTTGGCATAGTATGTTTCGACAGTATCATGTGATGTTTACTCATATGGGATCGTTCTCCTAAGTCTACTGAGTAAAAGACTTGTTGCTTGGTCAGACGACCATATAGCAAAACAAATAAATTGCACCGATAACGAGTATAGATCGGATGATTTCATGTTCCCAATCCGATCCCGAATGGATCAGCAGTCGGTCTCTCTTGTACACGAAACCCTTCAAAAAGAACCATCTTATGCTGCTGGGGACGGAGATGCAGTCTCCAAGCTCGCAATGCGATGCATCGAACACTTTCAAACTGATAGGGCCACTGCAACACAGGTTGTCCAGAGTTTGCTCGATCATAGCGTCGTTAAATATTTAATGAACCAGGGCTAGATGATCGTGGTCTGATCAATTGTTTCAATCTTATGTGCTTAGAATTCTTTATCTATTTCTTGTTGTTTGCTTTATTATGTTAGTTTATTCAACCAAAAAACTAATTAAGAACTGATCTATGGGTTAATGTCGATTTCCTTATTTTTTATCACTATCAAATATATATTCTTGAACTCCCAAGCTGTATCTGTCAGATTGAACGAGCCCTTTTCCTGTAAATTATTAAATGTGAATGAAACTGATTAGATCGATCTTTAGGGCTAATCACCACATATTCAACTATTAGAGGTATTTGATGGTAAAAAAGGTATAGTGATCTTTTCCCTTCTATAAGCCTTCAGCAGATAGCCAATGGTATATTTGTCATTTGTGTCAACTTGACTTGACATGATTAATGCTACCTTAGCTCAGCCTTGTCCTAATTGTACCCTTATAGTCCCTCTCAACTTACCTACAAATATGAAAATTTAGGTACTATGAAGTCATGTTCATCCCACTTCTTTCTCTCTCTCCTTTTTATTTCTTCCTAACTTGCTCTTTACTGATTTGCACATTAAAGTGCAAACGCAGGGAACACCCTATGCCTTTGCTAGTAACCGTCATTCTCTTTTACATTTACAAAAATACCCTCAAGTCGGAACTTGGCATCAACATTTGGTGCACTAGGTAGGGGATCATCTCATATTAGCCAAGCACAAAACAATGCCACCAAGAAAAAAAACCTAAAGGAAATAAAGGTAGCCATCCTAGCTGGAACAGAAACTTACCTTAGCCAACATTTTATCTGCCCAGCTCAATCACAGGCGAGACCAAACATAAAACAATTTCAAGCCCTAACAAAACAAATACAAGCTCTCAAGCAGATGTTGCAAATTATAACCCTATCACAAGTCTCAAAAATGCTGAACTTAATCACACCTGGCTAAGAAGCCGTTATGGGAGAACCAAGCTACAAAAAGGTAGAAGCCTTATTAGCCTCTAGAGAAGAAAAACATATAAACCAAACTCATCACCACCCCAGCCATAATTCCACACATGCCACAACCTATAAATCCAAATAAACAGACCATGAATTTCAATCAAACAGAGATTTGGAAGCACAGATGCAAGTCATGAAAAAAGAGTTGAAAACAAAGGCAGTGGCATTTAAGGATGAGCTCAAGTTCCTAGATATCTCACCTTTTACTGAGGAAATTGACAAAGCCATGCCTATCAAAGGATTTAAAATGGCAACCTTGGAGACATATGATGGTACTTTTTACCCCTTTGATCATTTAGAACTTTATAGAACCAACATGATGATATATAGGGGGTAGACGAGGTTTTAAGGTGCAAAGGTCTAACCACTATGTTAAAAGGTACAACTCGATCTTGGTATAGCAGTTTGAAGTCGAGGTCAATCATTACATTCAAAGAGCTCAGCCACTCATTCTTGTCCAAATTTGTGAGTAGTCGAAGAGCAAAAAAAATGATTGTAAGTTTGACGTCAACTCATTAAGGGTGGAATGAGACTTTGAAAAGTTATGTCACACGCTTTAACGCAAAAGCTCTACAAGTTAAAAATTTGGAACAAACGGTCTTTGTTGTCACACTGACAAGTAGACTTAATGATAAAGAGTAACACTTAAAGCTAACATTATCGCTAGAACCACCCAAAACTCTGGCCAACATCCTACTAATAGTAGAGAAATACATTAATGCTGAAGCTACAATGAAAACTAACCAAGGTGAAAGAGGCTCATCCCCCTTTATCCCTCTTCTTGATGGTTAAAGTGAGAGAGGCTCATCCTTCCTCTTCGATTTGAAAAAGGCAAAGATTTCTACGATCTTTCCCTAATAGGAAGACGACATAGGGTTAGAAGCTCCAGTAAAGAAAAAAGCTACACTGTATTGAATACTTCTCATAAGAGGATTTTGATGCAAATCGAAAGAAATTTTGACCTCAGATGGCCTAAGCCACTAAGACAAAACACAAGAATCTGATAAAAAAGTGCCTTTCATAGAGACATCGATCATAATATCGAAGATTATGTCGACATAAAAAATAAGATTGAAGCATTGATAAGACAAAGTCAGTTGAAAGAGATTTATAGGATAGAAAAGAAAAGACCAACTTAGAATAACTACAAACAAGACCACAAAGTGCCTATTCAGGGCAAAAAAAGAAGAACAGAGCAGGAAAGGAAGAATGCCTAAAGAAAAGAGCCAAATTAAGAAAAAAAGGTCGAGCTGGCAATAGTAGGCCAATTGTCAAGGTGATTAATATAATCACAGGAGGTAGCTTTACCTCGACGAAAAGAAAGTTTAACCCCAGCATGGTAATGGCAGTAGGCACCTCGACAAAAAAAAAAGACTAAAGAGACAAATCGATCTCATTTAGCTCGAAATATCTGGAGGAAATCCAACACCTATACGATGATGCCATAGTGATCACAGCCTTAATGTATAATTATGTGGTCAAAATAATCCTATTTGATAATGAAAGTTTGACCTACATCATATACTACGATTATTTGAAGAAAATGAGGATTGGCAAAGATTAATTAAAGCCAATCCCCACCACATTAGTGGCGTTTAGGAATGAGCAGGTGCCCATAAGAGGAACTATCAAGCTTCTGATCTCCTTAAGGACTAAAACAAAGATAATTACCTCAGTTGTAGAATTTATAATAGTGGATGCCCCATCTACCTATAACATGATATTAGGTCAACCAAGCCAATCTGTTATATGGCTTATAAGCTTAACTCTCCATTTGAAAGTGAAATTTCAATACTTTGAAGGGTTAGAAAAGTTCAAACAAACTAGTTCATGACATAACAATGTTACGTCACAACAATAAATGGTAGGACTAGGAAGCAGACAAGTAGCTCGATCAATATTGAGGTTGAAAGCAAAGAAAAACCAACATAAAGAATTGATAAGAAGCAGGAAATCACTAATAAAAGCATAAAAAAGTAAGATCAACCTAGGAGAAATGCACTTTTGAGTTGTTCTGAGCTCCTAAGCTCTAAAAAACTTTAGTTTTGTTGTATTTTTAAAATTTTTTGAGACAACATTAGAAACGATCGAGCTCTTAAATCGGTGTGAATAATTTGATGTTACTTGGATAAAGCTAACATGCAGGCTAAAGTACAACATGAAATGAAGAGTATACTTTACTTTTACTAATACGTTTAACAAGTTTTTTAATAAATTAATCATCACGCGAGATCTATTTTTGTAGAAAATGATCCTGACTAATTGTACAAAAAAATAATTGATCAAAGATTAAAATTAGACACAAATTGACCTAAGTCAGCTGAGGACTTCATGACAATCTCATTCTAGAACAACATTCCTTAATAATAAATATAGATCGAAGCCAAGCTCCAACATAAATAACAATTGATTCAATTCATAAATGATAATGCTGACTTATTTGCTTAGACACCATCTAACATGCCTGAAATTGATACTAAAATGATGCTCATAGACTACACACTAATCTCGAGGTAAAAGTAATTCAGCAAAAGAAAAAAACTTTTACCTTTGAAAGATAATAGGCCATTGAGGAAGAAATTAACAAATTATTACGAGCTAACTTTATCAGAGAGGTCTACTACCTTGAGTGGATAGCCAATGTGATCATAGTAAAAAAGTATAGTAGAAAATAGAGAATATATGTGGACTTTATCGACTTAATAAAGCTTGTTCGAAAGATAGCTTCCTCATTCCTAGCATAGATTAACTAGTAACTGATAGTGCCGAACATATCCTTTTTAGCTTCATGGATGCCTATTCTAGCTACAATCATATCAAAATGTTGAAAAAAAAGAGGATAAAATGACCTTTATTATTAAAAAAGACATTTATTGTTACAAGGTCATGCTATTTAGATTAAATAATACAGGGGTGACCTACCAAAGATTGGTGAAAAAAGTGTTTAAAGACCAGATCGACCATAATATAGAGGTATATGTAAATGACATGTATCAAAAGTAAAAGTTTGATCGAGCATCTAGAGGACTTCAAAGAAACTTTCAACACTTTGACAAAAGTATAATATGAGATTTAACCCAAGCAAATGTGCTTTTGAGGTTACATTAGGCAAGTTTCTCAAGTACATGATTAACCAAAGGGGGATAAAAGATAATCTCGAAAAGGTTCAGGCAATCCTAGAAATGAAAGCATCAATCTCGATAAAAGAAGTGCAAAGGTTAACAGGCAAAATAGTCACCTTCAGTCGATTCATGTTCAGATCAACAAAACAATGTCTACCGTTCTTCAAAATTCTAAAAAATGTCTCTAACTTCAGGTGGACTCTTCAATGCCAAAAAGTTTTTAATGAACTCAAAGAGTTCTTATCCTCCCTATCTGTTTTGTTTAAACCAAGGATTGGTGAAACACTGTACTTATACTTGGCCAGTACAAATCAAGTTGTTAGCTTGATCTTAGTCTAAGAAAAAAAAAAGAATGATCAATCTATTTTATAAGTAAAGTATTGATAGAGCCTGAAGTTAACTACAGCAATATAGAAAAATTAGG